CTTTTTCTGTTCTTTAACAGCTGGTAAATGTCTGCTTAAACATTTGAGGCAGTTATAAGCACAACAGTCATCAGAATCCTGAAGCATCCATACATTAAAGGATGTAGTTCTTTCTCAATTCAATCAGATTTAAAGCGATAAAACATTTTCTAATAGTGTGTTGTTGTTTTTTATCATGCCAAGTGACATGCGACTGACAGCTCCTCACTGATGCTCTGACCACGGGTTTCACTAACCAGTCACACTCACACCTAAACACCACAGTCTGGCCTTTTGGTCCACACATGTTCCTTCCTAACCAAGCAGCTACAGGCAAAGTGCCTAAAAGCTGTCAAACCCTGTCAGCTGATTCACACACAGAATGCTAGGAAGCAACAGGGGTTAAAGCAAGGAGAGACGACACAACACACACAAACACACACACAAATTACGCTCTCACACATACCCAAAGACATTTTTTTCACATCATCATAGTTAGAATGAAAATATGAAAGCAGGAATTAAAACCAATCTTTCTTTTCTTGTTTTTAAGATAATGGATTTTTGTGCGACTAAATTATTCTTTGCTGGGGATGTGGATGCACGCTATGTTACCCTGGTGACTCGGTTAATCTGTCCACCGAGAGCTGCATCCCAAACTGACCCCTAACCCAGATGAAAGACAGGTCACCCAGGTAACACTCTCCTCTGGTCTATTTTGTTGGCCGGCTTTTTTCTCTGAAAGGACAACTGTAAGATCCGTTTTTCGTCTGCAACACAAAGCTAGTCTGACTACATTAGCTGTAACACAATTGTGCGGATACAATTACTGCAAACTACACTTAAAGCCATGGAAGACCTAACAATGACTTCACATTTGCATTGTCCTCTAATTATTCATCTGGGTTTTTACGGTTTACACCCAGTGAGATTTGAAAACGTAATCAGTCCTATTAAAAATCACGAGGCACCGGATTTTCAATTTAATCTTTGCAGAAGGAAAATAAAAAAAGTATGAAAAATCAGCAGCTCGGTGTATACAATAACACAATTGTCAGAATATGCTGGAACATATTGACAAGTTAAATCTGTTTTACTTGTCAGAGGTTTTGCATCATTGACTGAAGCTCATTTGTCTTAGTCTCTGAGGAGCACTGTAACCTGGAAACAGTTAAGTGCTCTCATATCTGTATAAAAGCTGTTGCTGGGATGGTTAGTGGAAAATGGAACTGGGAATAATCATGCAAAAAGATTTTCTGTTGGTGGGAAAGATCCACTTGCATTTATCACAAGTTCTTTTACTGAATTTTGAACATCATTTCAAAATGAATTGTGTTTTAGTTAAATAAGAATCTCAGTAAGAGGTGATAATGTTCATGTTAGCACTCTGAAAAAATAAATGACTGCTGAAATACAGAGCTGATCTTATATTACTCCTGCGGTGTATGATTTTGAAACGGTTCAGAGTACAAAGAAATGTGGAAAAATAAAAAAGGAAAATGAAATATGTAACAAGTGATGAATTAATTAATTAAGCATATGCTCCTTGTGTTGGTTCGATAAGTTTGAAACAAACCCGATGCGTCTGATAATATTTTTATCCAATCTCAGGAATGTGTTTTTTAAAGATAAATTTGTTTTGCTCTGCATAACCAAACTGACTCATTGTTTGATTTTATCTGGCTTTTATCTTATCTTAAATACATTTTTCTCTAATATCAGGGAAGTTTAATAAACCCGCTGCTGCAATATAGTTTACTTTTATAGGGCAAGCAACACCCTGAATATAATTTCAGCTGCACTCATTAGAAAGCTTCCGAGTAATGAACAATCTTTTTTATGCTTGAATAGAAATAAAACACAAACCTACTGTAATACACATTTAAGAGTCATGTTTTGTCACAGATTCCCCCACACATGCAGCAGAAATAGGCTTGCACACATTACGCATTCAACAAAATTGCTTTAATTATGATAATGATAATAATATTTGCGGCTATTATTTCATGTCATTGAGCTGTACTTTGTGGGGTTTTTTTGCGATGACAACACAATTAACAGAAATCTGTGGCTGTCGCAGAATAACGGTGTACCCGTGAATATTAGCCTGTTTGCTTTTTATTCATGAAGGATCCGCATTGCAAGACCTGAGGAAGTATTTAAAACACAAACTGCCTTTTTCTAAGTGTTAGTAATTATTGGGAAAAAAAAGAAGGACTATTTTATTCATGTAACAGTCAAGGTTATTTATTTAAAGTGCACAGCAGATTTCCAACCGAAGTTATTTGTTCCTGAATACATTCAAACAGAACAAGTGATTAGCCTCCTGAACTGATTTACTGCATTCACAAATCAACATGAATTTTATCAGGGGAAGTTATTTCCAAAGGCTGCGAAGTCTAGGCTTTGTGGTCAGTGTAACCACTGCTCCCTCTACTGGTTATTAGACACTGACTGTTTGTCGACTCAACTTGTATCCTATCACTATCAAGCAAAGTTGCATTTGGACACTTGAAACAAAGTCAAACATCATCAGCTTTTTAAAAAACAAATGCTAATGAATAAAAACAATGATAAATAGATAAATAAATAAATGAATATATTCTTTTCCTACGGCTCTGACATCTAAATGTCAACTGTTCCACAGTTACCACACAAGATCTGTTAGTGTATTAGTGTTTGTTGAATTTCCAAATGTTTCTGTCTGAATATGTGTAGTTGCTCTGGCACAGTCCGGGTGGGTTTGCACTTTAGTAGTCACACGCTCTGCTGAGGTGAGTTAGCTTTTCATGGGCTGACGAACCTGAGATTGAGCATAATACCACCATTCTCAGGTTGGACAGTCCTAGAAAGAACCACTCAAGAGACAGATTGGCCGGTTGTCTGGTTGAGGCCGCTCCGTGAGCCTAAGTCCAAACTGAGGTCCTGACAAAAAAGATATAGAACCACTTGATGAACCAATGTCTCAGAGGAGAAGCAAAAAAAATGTGTTCACAGGTGGATATTACCGTCATCTCCACCATTTAGACTCCAACAATAATGTCGCTATTAAAAAAACATTGATGATGACGTCGCTGATAAAATGATTTATTTACATCATTTGCAGCATTTTTTTAAATCATTTTTACTTTTTAAAATAACTCTAAAAACTTTGGTTCTATGTTCCAGTGTGTGCTGAGAATGTAAGATTTTGGCGCCAAGAGCAATTATCAGCCAGAATGAAACGGAGAAAATGTACTTTGAAAATGTCAAACTTACCAAAATCACATAGATATCCATTTTTTTATAAAATCTTTTTTAATGGTATTTTCTTTAAGTAGACCTCATCAGATAATTCAATAAAGCAAGGTATAAAACTGAATGTAAAGCTGCCATGTTTACAAGAAGCAGCACTGAAACACAACCCAAACAAATCTGCCGTTATCTTTCATAAAACGCTCATAGTGTGCAGATTATGACCACATATGGCTTTCTGTTGTTGCGAACCAGCATTGAAAGCTCCTCACAAGGCAATCAGACACTCAACTAACTGAGCTTGATGCACAAACTGCATCTCCCAGAAAAAAAATCTAAATCGCCCTCGTCTGAGTTTATGAGGACAGTCCAACCTCTCATTCTTTGATCATGATAAACTGCAGATTTGCAGTAAATGAGGACACGCACATCCATATGCAGGTAGAGCTAAGGGAGAAGGCAAAGGAGATGGGAAAGACAATACTTTACCCTCTTCAACAGGCTAATCTAAACCCTCTTCACATGATTCAGAAATACTTCATCATCTGAATAATTCATCCTCGACTATCAGCACTCAGTGGCTGCTCTTCAAATGCACCATCCAGACACACTTAAGGCCTGATGGGACGTTAACCAAACTAAATAACCAAAATAAAAGATTCACATTCCATGTTTGATTTACCATCATCGCAATACTGGAAGGAAACTGCAAGCTTTCAGAAGCCTCTGTGCATGTTTCTTACCCACATGGCACCCACCTTCTGACTCTTCAGGTTCAGTCGAACCGACAAGGGGGGGCAACCATCATCATGTAAAGTCAAAATCAAAAGAAAGCAGACGGGAGGAGAGCGGAGAGACCAAGAGCACGCACCGGTGACGTGGGGATGAAAAGGCAACACAGGTCGCCGAGTTATAACGGCCACTCCTGCTGTCTTTACCGAGCTGTGACCTCATCATGCTCTGCGCTACCAATGGGGAGGCAACTCAAATACACACGCACACACACACACGTACACACACAGAGAGAGAGAGAGAGAGAGTGACACACTACCTTCCTGTTTGTCAGTGCTGCTGGTGAACTTTCCACTGACATCTCCATTCATTTGAAGTTGTCATGAATTCTGTCATCAAGAATAAAACGCACCTCTACTCAGTCTAAACAGAGTATTTAAGAAAATATGATCAGAACCCTCTGATTCAAGACAAGATATTGATTTGAGATGATTTTACATGTGCAATACACATAAATAAAATCAAATGAACTAAACGAAAAACTAAAGTAAAAAAATTATTCATGCTTTATAGCTGCTTAAAAAAAAAGAGCAGAAACAGACACAAGAAATGGCTTCTGCCGAGTTTCCTGATATTCGTAGCTCTTGCATGTCTTTTGTCCTTTTCACACCTCCTCTCTTAGAAAAAGACGACTTTTCTGTGTCAATATCTGCCCAACAGGTCGCTGGTTTGTAATTGTCCGTTGGCCCCATGAGATGCGTGTCAATCATACTTTGACATGACTGACATCTTGACAGCTGTCAGGGTGATAATTGTGGAAAGTGATGGAGGAGATCAAGGTTATTTTCCATGAGAAGAGGACAACCACAATATCCTTCCTGCTCAATCTCCGAGTGAAGGTAACGTATCTGGGTTGAAATGTTTGATAAACGCAACAAGCATGCACATTATGGCGACATAGAGAGAAGTTTGGTGTATGTGCCATATATTAAGTGGTGGTTTAGTCCCGAATGCATGGTTATAACATTCATAGCGGACAGAAACAGAGCAGGTGATGCCACTTCATATATTTATTGCACTTTTTATTAAATATAAAAAAAATGAAACAATATAAAACATGCAGACCTGGTAAACCCAAAACAACAGAGTTAAACACTGAGGCTGCAAACACAATCAACTGATTTCAGACAGCTGTAATCAGCAGAAAGAATGCACTGTATAACAAGAGAAGATTAAACGGAAAGACAGGGACGGGCTGGTTTTTAGAAGTCGCCAACAAGACAGAGGTTCATTCTTTTTTAAAATATGCAAAACACTAAATTTCCAAATAATGTACCTTATTACAAAGTACAGTAAGATAATTATTAATTATAAAATTGAACCTCATGTCCTGCAAAGTGTTGGCACTTTTTAAAAACAGGAAACAGGCAATAATAAAGAGACAGCCGCTTCAACAGATGGATCTCATTCTTTTCAACATAGCTACCACGTAAACAATTCAGGCACGATCTGGAAAAGTTCCTGACCTGTAGATATTTTAAATTTCAGGAGCCCACAGCTCTGCAGCCCCTCTTAAGCAACAGATCCCATCTACAGCATGAAAAACAGAGGCATCGATCGGGGAGAGTGAGACTGAAGAAAATAATTATTCCGTGTTTACTAAAAGCAGATTACCCATTTTTATAGCAACAAAAAGATGCATGACTTGCTTGCTGACTGGTCAGGCCCATCCATGGTAAAAATATGTAAATGAAGTACATTCAGTGCAAACATACACCACAAGCACATACTTAAAGCCGTATAATGAAAAGTGGTTTTCAACATCCTTTTAAGCTGGTTAGGTCAGCATCCACAGAGAAGGAAAAAGCTGAACGAGAGCACTAAAAAAAAAAGAGACACACACCCACACATTTTCCGATGAATGGTCCTTCAAAAAGTGCTCATGGCGATGGAAGTCGAGCAACTCAAGTTCATGTTCTGATTTTACTTTTGCTAAACTTAAGAGGAAGAAGGCATGTGGTACTAAAAAAAAACTTAAAAGCTTGACTGCTGTACTCTCCCGTTGTGTGCAAATTGACATTCAGTTGTGTCGTCCACAGTACATGACTTAAGGCTGGATAAATCTTTTGTTGACACGTCAGCATATTTTCTAAACGATTGTCACAATTCAAACATTCAAATATAATCTTACAACCTTGAAAATACTGTGCAGATACAAATATTTCAGACTTCATAACAGTAACATTCCTTCCCCTTCTTCCGAAATGACAAAATAGGATAATTTAAAATTTAAATTCTATATAAGCTGTCCTGCGTTGTCCTGCTTGTCTGGCCGTTTTGGCCCCTGAAGGATGCACGCTGTGGCCAGACAGAGGCATGTGTGTGTCCTCACATTGTCCACTGAGGGGTACAGTCCTATATCCTAAGATATAGCAGAGATATCAGTAACTGGGCTCGTCCATTTCGTCGTCGCTCCAGTCAGGCGGTGCATCTGTTCCAAAATATCGATCCCCGAAGTTTCCTACAGTTTTAAAAAAAGAAATGAACAAATTATCTGACATTGTGTAAACATTAAAAAAACGTCTAGTTTGTGAAAATAAGGTTTTTTGCACAGCATCCCTCACCTATGCCGGGTATGATGTGAAAGAGGTCATTGACCTTCTTGTCCACAGCTGTGGTGATAATCTTGACCTGTGGGAACGCGTAGGCCACAGAGTGGACTCCCATTTCAGCCATGAGCAAAGAAACCAGCAAGATTTTCTCCTCCTGAACGTCGTGATCCTGAAACGAAACAACGCCAATGAAAACAGGCGCCATTTTGAATGTAGCTCGGCGCGTTCGAGGTGGATCTGTGAGCAGCGAGGTGCACCCACCAGCAGAACCCGTACGGCCATCATGGCAGCGGCTCCCGTTGACACAGTGCAGTCCATCAGGATCACATGATCTTCCCCAATGTCTTTGGGTAGACGAAGATAATGCAGCTGAGTTTTTAAAAAAAAAAGGAAAAAAAGTGTGAAAAAAACAACCCACAACTATGTCAGGGTGGTATTGGGTAGAACTAGTCTAGCCTGATATAATCTCATAAATAGGACATTTAGATAAACGAAATGTGTGTCAGAAAAACATGAACATTTCTTATGAGAACAGAGCCTATTGTAGTATAATATTTATTTGACTTCCATCTAAAAAACATTTGGAAAACATTAAAAAGTTTAAAGTTTTCTTAATGAAAAATGACCCGAACAAAAACTGGTTTTAAACAGGGTTCTATAATTCAGGCGGTTAGTGCAGTTCTGTACCTCGGGTTCTCCTGTGTCCTGGTTGGTCTGGATGAGGATCTTTCCGATGCGGACATCTTTACAGACGGCCCTGAGAGCTGGCTCCATGGTCTCCCCAGCTCGCAGGATGGACACGCCTGTGATCTACAGAAAATAAAGAGTAGATCAATTAAGCAGAGGTTAATTGCATCATTTAAGGCAAAGGGAAATTGTTCTGAATGGTTATGGAAAAAAAAAAAAAAGACATGGAGAAAATGGAGCCACTCACCCTCTTCCCGTGGAACGCCCTGCCTTCGTAATCCTCTCCTTGGGGGGTCTGGACTACGTGGAGCTGAAATAATCATTAAAAGCAGAGAGCACAGAGCTGATCACCTCGGTGCATACTGCGCTACACAAAAGAGGAAAATACGTCTTGTCCTGCTGCAGAGTTTTACAAAACGTCAGTGTTGTGTTTGTGGCATGAAAACTTTCCACTGTGGTGACAAGTTTCCATGAGCATGCTGCAGGTCATTACAGTATGTCTCTCTTTACTAAATGGAATCAATTCTCTTCATCTCTATCTTTCCATACTAAGTTTAGAAGTGAGGTCATGTGTAAAGCATCTCTTGATACACTTGCCACCTCTAAAACCAGCACTTTTTTTCACACCCTATCTGCACTGATCGATTGGCGTGTTCTTAATACGTTCACTGAACCTCCTGCATTGCAACAAATAGACTTCAGGGTATTTCAGTGTTTAGAACCTGTGAGGGGAGGAAGGAGAGTGCTCGCTCGATCAACAGACGCATCAGCCTCTTGGAGTAGAAGATGAACTCATCGCGGCTGGTTTCCTTGTTTCTAGAGGAAATGGCCAGACAAAGAGGGACGCGGGTTTATTTTGGTGGCAGCAGCTTCACACAGCAAAGGCTCTCGTGGAAACAAATCCCCATGCTAATTTATGCGTCTTCGCTTTTACCTGATGATGGTGTGCATGCCCCTGACTTGGGGTGTGCTTTCCAGAACGCTGAGGGTCTGGGGGAGGGGTTGGGCCTGGTGTGCAGACGCCAGGGCTGCCCTGTAACCACGGCAACAAATGGCAGCGCGGGGGTGGCAAGGGTGAGAGCAGTGAAAAGAAAGAAAGATGGACGGAGACATGAATACAGCACAAATGAATCCAGGGGGGAATTAAGACTTCAGCATCACACAGAGGCGTGCACATCTGTGTTCACACTCAGAAGACAAACGCACACACAGAAACGTGAACATACATGCAGAAAAATGAAAGGGGGTAAAGGCTCATTTCAGTTAGAGGAAGGTTGATAATTATGGTGTAACTAGTCTGAAAGGATTGCTTGAGAGAATCCAGTCACAAATTTGCAAAGCACACAGGGCCAGTGTTGAGCATCTCAGGGGAAAATTAGAATGGTGCAGAGACCATGATGATGGAAAAGAAAGTGAAAAACGTCATAAAATCAGAAATATTAGAAACAAAGGAGGATTTCAAGATCTAATATAAGCAAGACCACGTTATTTTCCATGATAGGTCTCTGTGTTGTCACAAACAAAAAACATTAGTTCTGCATATCTAGCAGGTCTACCTCAGACTTTAGACACACACAAAATAACCAGAGATGCAGTCGTACTGGCACTACAGGATCTAGAATGTCACTGTGATAAAGATAAGCCAAATCCAAAGAAAAGCAAATTAAAGCAAATCTGCTCACATATCCCAGCGAAGTTTCCTCTACGGGGAGAACATTTAGACAAAACAAACAATCATAACAGGGGGGGGACACAGAGAGACAACAGATAAGAGGAGGAAAAATGAGAAGAGACAAGATCAGGTGAATGAAGGGATGGAAGGTTATCAGACACTGTAAAGTGTGACAGCCGGCGTCTGGAAATGTCAACGCTTCAGCCTCTGCAGATAGAGTTGAGGTAAACTGACACCTTAACTTAGACAGTCTTTGATGGGTTATCATTCGCTCATGTTTGCACCACAATACTGACAAGAACTCAAGTGACAGGCCATGCTTTAAAAGCTCCTTGCCCATTTCTGATCAGATTTTGGTAGGTATACACGTGCACAAATTGAGTGTGTGTGTGCGTGGGAGGTGCCCCAGCTATCATGTGGCTGTCACTCTTTTGCTGTGTCAAACAGTAAAAGGTTGGTATTTCAGCTCACAGGCCCCAGCACATCCTGTGTCTAAAGACAGACACCGAGCTCACTTCCTCTGTCGGTGTCTCAGTTACTGTGGCCAACATTCAATGGAAAAACTCAGCGCTTTGTAGTAGGGTATTGGAAACTTTCTCTGTGGCTGAGGTGTGTGATGAACAATAGCGAGCAAGAGCTTCCTCTCTTGTGCTTTCTGTTATAATCACTCTCTCTTGTTGCCACTGAAAGGAGGGGTCAGTGACTTGAATCACTGGGTGTATTTTTAGACACAGAAGGCAGGAAGAGTGTGAGTTGTCATTTCTATAAAACATAAAGAGAGGGAAAGCCAACGCCTTTGCGTTCAACACTGGCTGCATCACGTCATTTTCAAACTTCGGCTTTCAAGCGATCCACATTTTTGCTGATCCGGGTATTTACAGTTCTGCTGCAAAGTACTACAGCCGTGCATCTTATCTCTAATCAGCCACATCTGGTTTAAAGATACAATAGTGCCGCCTGGTGATGTGTTGTAGCAGCCAGCAGAGAGGCAGAGGAAAGAGGTTGGCTTTGCTCTTTTCTCTCCCGACCAGCAAGGAGCTGGAGCCCTTGGGGAGAAGGGGAAGATGTAGAGGAGAGAGTGATAAATAGGATAAAGGCCACTCTACCTGACGCTGAGCTCGCGCTGTGAGCAACGGAGGGTGGTGGGTGGGGGGGGGGAGAGCAAGAGAGCAGTCCATCAGAAGCATGTGTGTTTTTGTGTGGTGGAGCGGACATGTAGCAAACAACACCGTCACACAAAGTGCTGCCCTCAGACTGAAATGTACGCGTGGTGAGGGGCTATTAGTGCGGACTGCGTCACAAATCACACAAGTGGATTTGATGTGTTGTGTTTTTAAAACGCTCAACACAAAAGTCGACATTTGATCATAAACTGTATATTGGAGACAGCGGAAGCCGTTGTGTCTGAGAGATGAAGCCAGTGTGAAGTGATGTGAGGGCTGCTACGTGCTGGCTGCTGATAATTAGATCTTATGAAGTACAGATGCTTTCCCAGTCCTCGAAGAAACAGCCTAAACTGCCTTGCCATGGAATAACTGACAGCTGTTTGGCAAAATATGGAGTGTGTGGTTGTGGTCTCGATTTAAAAAAGGCATTTTTCTGTTACAGATAAAGGATCTATAGGGATGATAGATATTCAAACATATTATAAAAATGTATTTCTCATAAACATCTAAAATATTTTTACACTTTAGTCTTATAAATAATTGTAGTTGTGAGTTATGAATTATTTGTAACAAAAGCACTTAGAATTTTCTTTTAATACTGTTTTCCTGAATGAAAACTCCAAATATGTGTTTTGACTATCAAACACTGAACAAGCTACTGAGGCTGTTTCATGTGCGGTTTTAATAAAAAACTATTAATCTCAAATTCATTGTATCAAGAATTCTGACTTCTCAATGAAAAATTTAATATTTTTCCTTAGGAAGTATTCATATTTAGGTTACTGGGAGCGGGTTTGAGTAAGTTGCATTAATTTTGCATTCTTTTATGAGATTTTCATCAGTCAACATATCATGTTTTGGGGCACATTATGATCAAAGGTTTTACATACAAAACACAAAATGTATGGTTCTCCAGGCTGTATGTGCACCTACAAAAAACTAACAATTGTATGTGATGCAAAGCAGTTTACAAAACACTATATGGCCTCATGCAGAGGTATGGAACCAGTGAGTGACAAAGAGCCTTCCGTTCTATTCACATTATTTTACATACGTAGGTTCACTTGAGTTCATCCACCAATGAGGATCATAAACTCATCAGACCCTTAAGAGACTTTGACATGTAGATCATAAGAAAACACTTTGATGGTTCCTAATCTGATGACAATATCTATAATGCTCCCAAAAGGCTTTGAACATTAATGGGGTTGAATTTTTGCATTCAATAGAAATCATGAACTGAGAAATAAAATTGGGAACAGATCTTGGTTGAGCTTAATAGTTGCTGATAGCTTGGTTATTGTCTGCTTGTCCAAGACGACTGACTCAAGAGTCCTTCACATCTGGCTCTTAACGAAGGTCCATGAGCAAGTTTCACTTTCTTGCACTTCTTTAAAATAAAGCCTAAGATTTAGAAGTAATGCTTCAGCGACAGACAAATTCAAACCCACTCAAAAGCTACTGTTCAAATGAAAAGTCTGCTAATTACTTTGACAAAGAGTAATGCACAGAAAAACCCCAACAGGGGCTAAGTCTGTTCTAACATGGTTTAATTATCTAATCGTTTGCAGATTAGAAAGCCTTAATAATACTATTAATGAGCTTTACATTATGGCCGGCATTAGAATCACTTGACTCTTTAATGAATGCATTCATAGTCACATTCCAGGATAATCCAAATTGCAACTACTGAGGTTAATAAACGAGGCCAGAGCAATCCTAACTCCGCCTGCAAAAGCCTGTGCAACTCTGGCCACTAGAGGGAGTGATACAGCTTCTGAGCAAAAAGCGAAGGCCCACCATGATGAGTGGATGTAGTTTGATAGATGGACTGAATCAGAAACTAGTGAGGCCAGGAAGTAAGAGGGAACGGCCATGGGGCCCTTTCAAATGTACCCATGTCATATTATAAAATCAGTGGCATGACGTGTCATGTCAGTGTATTTGGATGTTGGTGCTTGACTGAGTGAGCTGTCTTACCTCCTCCAGCTGACTGTGAACATGCTGCACAATCAAATCAATGGCTACCATGTTGCCACCACCTGACAGGACAACAGCCAGAGAAACAGAGAGGTTTAACACTTCTGGGGAATAAAACAAGCGATTCATCTGTGTGCAGTAAGTGCACCACTGCAAAACAAGCTGACTACGGTTATCTTTTTTATACGTCCTGTGTCATGTCATCATGTGTTCTTGTTATGCATTTTTAAATTTGTATATGCAAACAATTTAGGTTGCACGCACCACGTGGCACTACGATGTCAGCCAGGCGCATGGTAGGCTCAATGTACTGCTCGAAGGCCGGCTTCACAAACTTGTTGTACTGTTTGATGACGCCCTCGATGTCTCTGCCTCTTTCCGTGATGTCTCTCCTCAATCGGCGCACCAAACGGATGTCCGAGTCCGTTTCCACAAAGATCTTCATGTCCAGCAACTAAAGGACAACAGAAAACAGAAAGAAATGACTTAACATTCACAAAATAAAGCCAAAAAAATAAAATGACTTGGGCTAAATGAAGGCTGCTAACTGAAATGAACCCTTCTGAATGCACCTTTCTTAACATGTCCACGAGAAATGTAAACCATATGAATAACAATATTCAGAAAACTTTTGTGAAAAATGTAACAACACAACACACGACCACGAAGGAGCTACACGTGTGCTGATTCTTGGGTAGCGGTATTTGGAGTGTCAAACCTTAAGAATGAGAGCAAAACAGTAAACAAATATCTCTTTCATGACAATTAAACGGTCTGACTATTTCATACAAAGTTGTCACAACATGCTGTGCGAGAGTGTGCGAGATAGAGAAAAAAGCAATGTGTTGCCAATGTGTGATAGTAGAGGGTGTGTGTGAATGCAAGTGTGACCTGCAGTGTAAAAGTGCTTTGTCAGTACAGTCAAAGTATCATTTACTATCTTTGGGGAGAATGTGTTATCAAACTGAGCTGAACAGACCTTTATGATAAGGGCACTATTTCTATAACCTCTGGGGCATTTGTAGGTTTCTGTTTCTCTGAAACTGACGACTGTGTGTGCATTTACAAAAGATATTAGGTTCGTGGCATTGTTCTCTTTTTAAACAGAAGTAAACACACTTGGTGAAGTTGTCTTGCATGCTGAAAAGAAAAAGAAAAAAAATCCAAATGAACTTTGAGTGAGCTCTTTACACTACCTGCAAAAGCTCTTTATCTGCAAATGCCATGATTCCCTCAAAGATGATGACACTGGCTCCATATACGGTTTTCTGTCAAGAAGAAAGATTAACAGCTTATTGTGAAGATACAAAGTTATCATCTATGTGAAAGGCAATATGTACCATAAAAGAACAAATAATCCATATAATTTATTATTAAAATAACAAGTTTGACAAAAAATCCCAACACTTTTAACAGAGACCATCTGGAGATATTTAGCTTTGTAAAACGACTAAAACATCAAAGATGGAGAATAAAACCCTCTTAGATATCCACTAAGTGAGATTATACAGCATGAATGAACTCTGATGCGCTCCCCATCAGCTCTGAAAGCCTGGGTGTGAAGCTCGTCTTTACCCAATCCTTCTGCCTTCCGTGAGTAGTGAAGTCGTACACTGGGATTTTTACGCTCTTGCCCTGTTTGAGCTTGCGCAGGGTATGTGTCAGCAATTTAAAATCGAAGGCATCAGGGTGGTCGAAGTTGTAGTCGTTGCTGGCAGCCCGGGTCTGCTCCTCTGGGGACAGGACCTAGACATCACCACAGTGAGTTCAGAACTACGGGACTGAAGAGCACACTTCTTCGTACCTCACTTTTTGCATTGGAACTTTCAATTATAAAAAAACGAGAGAGAAAAGAAAGAAGCAGTATTTGAGAGATGTGTTTGTAAAAAACTAATGTAAAGGTACTGACTCATAGCATACACAAGCTTGTTGGACAACACAGATCCCTGTTGAAGAGCTGTTGAAGTTAGGGGACCTAAATTTAGGAGAATCATGTGGCACCGTGACGCCTGTACCAGGTGCTGTGAGTGCGCCCTCAGGGTGGCTGAGCGTTAAAGCCCCAGACCTGCTATTTGGCAGTTTATGAACAGCAGCCCCCCCACCCATCTCTAGTGAGCTCATTATGCACTGAATACGATAAACCAATGTTGCGGGCTGTGTGTGGGCTGTAGGCTCTTCCAGCAGCAGAGCAGGACATATCAATATGAAAGACACACATTCGAAAGAAAATGCAAACAAATGCTGTCCTCTGGTAATGCACAGAGGAAGCTGCAGCGCTGGTCAGTTAAAAATCCCTCCTACTCAGTAACGTCTGACCCACTTGCTGCTGAGTTTGTGACACGGTTACGCAACAAGAGTGGGTGGAGGTGTACAAGTGTGAGAGTGATGGCCCTGCTTTGATTGCTTTCCAGCGCTATTGTTTTCCCCTAATTTGACTGTTGGCTGTGTGTGTGTGTGTGTGTGTGTGTGTGTGTGTGTATGTGTGTGAGACCAACATAATACAAATGCACACACACCATCAGCGCGCGGCAAACACTGCACTATCATACGTACCTTGTAAAAAGAGTCCATGGAGAGTAATACAACCCATGGAACATCTAAAGCTTCAATGATTTTCCTGGCAACAGTCGTCTTTCCTGAAGCGCTGCCACCGCACAGACCTGTGAGGGTAGAGTGGACATAAAGACAGGCAGTGATGCTTTTATTCATTAGAAACAAACACGGTGAGGCTTCATTTCAGTTTTGTGCAAGATAGATCAGTGCAGGCTGGGGCTCGTTTCAGGCAATGGCTATAACACGGGGAGGCAAATACACTGTCAGTGTCTTGTTTTCCAGCAAGAGTTTCTTACATTGAAAAAAGGAATAAATGAAGAAATCCAAATGGAAAAAATCTTATTTTTGTTAGATGATTGTAGAAAGAGGATTCAGTAATATTCAAAGCCTGGTAACTTGTTTGACTCTGCGTTAGAGGTGCTGTAAAAACATATTTATCGGGGCGCAAGGCCCGGAGGCAGCTTTGTGTAGGAATGTGCACAAAGTCGTACATCATATTTCTTGCTTTACTTTCATTGACATCAAGCTACCTGCAGCCTCTCATTTGGTGGTAATTATTTTGAACACTATGAACAAGACTGAAAACAAAAAAATAGCTCATTTTGGAAGCACCCTATTTTTCAAGGCTTTTCTGTTCTGGGTATGCAATCCTAAATAACGTTTTTTTACTTTACTTTTCATATTTACTTAACTTTTCATAATACCAACTTGTAAAGCACATCCGCCTTTAATACGTTTAAAAATCAATACTGGAATTGACTGATCGAACACACAAACAATAAGCTTTGTAAGCTTTGAAAAATACGTTTTTTAAACATTTAAGAGATACCCAGGCAGCTTGTTCTTAAAAGTCAGAGTTAAACTGGTAACTTGATTCAATAAAAATAGTGGTTCTTATTTTGGTTTCCTACCAATGACGAAGGCCTCTTTGGACTGTGTCCCGTGCTCGTTGTACCAGGGGGGGCGCCCGGCGGTGTAGATGGTTCGTTTGGATGTGCGCAGCAGTGGCGGCTCAGACTTGCACTGGCTGGTGGTCCTCTTCCTGGGAGAAAGGCCCGTGCTTACCGAGGGGAGAAGCCGGTCCAGGGATCCCTCCCCACCTCCACTGTGAAAAGACAAACACAACAAATACTTATGAGATGCTACGTTCACGACTATAAAATATGTTGTTTCCTTGATCTGTCATGTCAGAAAATGAATGCATTTTTCTGCCTGTTTCAGGCAGACACACAGTCTTTTGAACATCTGATGCATGTTAGCATCAGGCTATCATTATTGAATGTTTGGCAGTGATCCAATTGGTAATCCTCCTGCTTTGGCTTAATATTTACTTTGTCACATCTTTACCCAGCGAACTTTGTGCAAACAGGTGCAGTAGAATTTTTACAGGCATCAAAGTACACATACAGTATATGATCCATTACACAAAATGGGAACAAGATCATCTGAAGACAATATAATCTTTACAAGAATGCTTTGAAGTCGTGTGTTTTTGGAGGCGTTTCTAAAGGTCCTAGACTGGTGACTGGGAGGTAAATAATGATCACTGATCTCTAACTGCCAGATGTACGTATTCACAGTGATTGTGTGTTGCTTAGATAATACTGATACAACCATGTTTGCGGCATGTTTTTGTTTAACTCTGCCGACTGGGATTTTCCTCAGTAAAGGCATCTGTTTTACTTCAGATGTAGTTTAGAAGTTTAGTGTTACTCAGTCACCACAGGACAGGTGAAAGGTGCAACTGAAAACATACTGGATGTATAAAACTGTGCACTAGTCCTGCCATTCCTTTTGTACTTTACTGTATCTCAGGCCCGTCCATGGACCTAACTATGTTCAGAGGAAGATGCTATGTGAGTGTTTTGCTTAGGCCATTTTACTCTGACCCTAGAGTCATTAAAACACAAAACAGGCATCCAGCACAAAGAATGAGCACTGCATCATGTTTGAAAAAATTGCCCGGTAGTACACTAGGAAACAAAGAGTTACTCAAGACTTTCACACATTACTTTAAATGGCAGCAGAAGGATAAAAGGTTTGGCAGTTCTGATATCTGTCACAACATTTTTCATGACTCTACTGTTTCAGAATGTACTTGCTGCTCAACAATGAGAAAGTAAACAACTGCTTTTATCTTTCGTTGTGGTTGTTACTTGATTAACAAGTTATGTTGCTGGGTCAACATGGGTGAGAGGACCAGACTAGGCTTTAGGTCTGCTGTTCAAAGGACTTTTATGATACTTCTGTGGAGAAATGCTGACTCACCCACTTGTGTATCATCCTGCACTCAGCTGTTTCACTTAATACAATAGGACCATCACAGTACACAAGATAAACAAGGCTGCTGTAAACAAATGGTAACATCCCAATTCAAATCAAGCACGACGGTCTGAGATGACCTGGATGACTTTGCATAAACTATTCAAACTACTCTCGATGGGCACTAGAGTCATCTGACAGACAGCAGTAAAAGCAATTTGAAAGAGAAAAAGCAGTCGATTCATCAAGAAAAATAGTTTTAACAGGCAACACTTCCAAAAGCGAGAAGGAATTATGCAAACAAACTGGTAAAACTGATCCAACTTTCTGTATTAAACCAGACTGATTGCTTTTAAACAAGCTTAGCCTTCCAAACCACGCTGCTTTTATTGTTGTAGTCCAACCATTTAGCAACACTTACTGCACTATCTGGGACAGTCAAATCCCACCCAAAGGGGACAGCATCCAGCCGGATGCCATAACCACAGAAGTTCTCTGCTCTCTAGCCTACTCTCAGCCGCCAGGTCTTACAACAGACCATTTACATCTCCAGGTGGAGACGCGGGAGTTCAGAGGTGAAGCAAACAAGGGATGGCGAGAATGTATCCTATCAAACTGGGGTCATCTGGGCTTGGCTGGAGCCGGGGAGATGACTGAGACAACACATGGCTCATTCTGACTGTGTTATCAGTTAAGAACAAACCAGGGTGCCGTAAAAGATTAGCCCAGCTGACTGTGCTGAATCATGCCCCGCTCACTGGTTACTCTTTGCTCTCTGGTTGCTGTATTGCCTCGTGCTCCCAATCATTAGATGCACAGTGTAAATGTACCTTTGAGAAAATAGAGAAGACTAACAAAAGGTCAGAGAGCAAGGTACCTAAGGGAACTCTTCTGGATCAGAAACATTTCCAAACAAACATCAGCAGGGGTGAAAGGTCACATTTCAAGCACGCTTAATATCTTGTGTTACATGTTACTTCTTAGACCCTTCTTAGAAAATACCGAAAGGATAGATAGCAGCTAGGAGGTCCTACACCAACTCATCCAAACTCCTTTATTTAACACATCACAACCACACTAGATACTTCCTCCTATTCGTCATTAGAATCTGCATTTATCTAACACTGTAGCATGAGGAAACAGCTTTTGTAATAAGCCTCTGCTGGGACTTTTTCAGTACAAAAACACAGTACAGTTAATCATATAAGTTCTATGTTTTCTGAATGACAGATGCTGAGTTTCCCAAAGAATGTCAACATGTTCCTTAATAGCTTAAGCACTGAAGACCTGAAGGCTGGGACAGCCCCGAATACTTTAAGAGGAAAAACTATACCTCACACTGCGAACACCTGAGGGCAATGAGAAAAAAGCATGGATACAGAAACGAATAAAAAATACTTACCTGCCATCGGATCTTAGAGTCCAACATCCAGATATTCTAGCTCCGGAGTAAGCTGGTAGAGAGTTCATAACTGCAGAGAACGCACGAGACCCTTCCAGTGTGTGTACTCCACAAGTTGTGTTTTAATCCTACACCTGACAACAGGTATGCTCTGTGTTATGGTGCACCTGAGCCCACTGACGCCTTTAACAGCACTGCCCTCTGGTGCAACACAGAGAGGGGAATATGAAGGGTTATCGACTGGGGCCGAGAAACGAAACTTAAGGCAACTGTTTAGCTTTCTGTTTCTCCCATTCTCTCAACAGAGGGAGAGTGAAGGAACAGCAGCTTGGTGGAGAAAACAACTCAGTGTGAAAGTGCAGCACAGCTTTTCCCTCGTCTTTCACCAGCTCCCTGCTCCTCCCCTTCGTCGTCCAGCCAACAAACGTAAGAGGATAACCTACCCTCCAGATTATGTTCATTAGCTGGTATTAATAGCACCAGCTTAGAGCCATACCTCCTCACTACTGGCACACACACGCATGCCAGGCCTGGGTCGTCTGTCTTTGACAGCCAGTGTTGCAATATGTGACCGGAGGACAAAGAGCGACGGGGACAGAGCCACAGAGACCCAGAGAAGAGAAATGGGACCAAAAAAAAAAAAGAGAGCAGGGACAAACAAACGGCCAGCTCTTACTTTCCTCCGATGTTGACGATTTTGACTGAATTCACAAGAGAGATGCCTCGGGCTGTGCTGGGGAGGTGACAAGAGAGAGAAGTAGGGAGGGGGGGGGGGGGCAGGGAGGACGGCAGAGGGGAAGGGCAACAGGGACGGGCTGTGCTTGTACCCTGCAGGGACTCACTATGTCTTTGTGTGCCTTACACCAAGTCTGGAGACGTCAGCACCACACAAAATGCACACACACACACATACACACTCCTAATCACAGGGAGTGATGCCCCCCCCCCCCAGCTTTTTGCCGCAGAGAGGAGTGGGGAACAAGCAGCGTGATGTAACCCAACACTTGCTGCTCTATCAGCTGAAAGTCTGAAGAACCGCCCCAGGCAACAGGCACACACTCTTAAGACACGCCCTCACACTTCGCCTGAGCCACAACCTACACATACAACCAATAGAAATCTTTAATCTACGAGTTCAGAGGGAGAACAGTTGTGCTTTTTAGCGAGTGCAAAAACAAACCCCAGACCAGTGTAGGCTGCGGTTTAATCTACTTTAATCTTCTGCTAAGAGGAGCCACTGGATTAAAACCTTGGTTTAAAGTGTTTCAAAAATGTTTAGACTTTGAAATGGTATAAAACCACAAAACAAAGGAAACATAGTGATTCCTCTAATCTTCGCTAGTTTGGTTCTGTCACTGCAGCTTTAAAATGTGGTCAGAAGACTGTTGCCATACAAGAAAGCCACAATGAAACGAGATGCCGGAGCTCGTTGCTATGCCAGACATTCAAGCACCGTTTCAGCCACAGAGGGCCACAGCAGAGCCTCGGGCTCAAGAAAACAAACTCACTACAGCTGATACTTTAAACACACAAGGGGAAAATTAGCCTTATAATGCAGAAAGGGACAAAAAAACTGTATATCAGCCTATGATTAAAGAAACCAAATGCATTATGTTTTTTTTTTAAAACAGAAAGATATTAAATATTTCAACATCTGCCAAAGTCTAAATGCTTTTCTAATCCATCCCAAAGATGCGGACAGGGTAATAGTAGTAAATAAACTTGGTATTTATCAGAGAACTATTATTCGGAATATCAAATGAAACATAAACTGCTATCTTTTGGATATCAGTAAATCACCAGATGTGGGTTTTGTTTGAAAATATTTTTTTCTTTCTTGATAAAAAACTGTTTATTTTAACATCAGAATGGTGGAAAAAATGAGAAATCAACTGTAGGGGGAATAAAATGTAATATTATGCCTTTAGAAAACTATCAATTTTTACAACAGCTGGCCTGGTCACAAAGTTTTGTTACATTAACTTTAGGGCAAACTGTGAGCCGAATTTTTTTTTTTTTACATTTCTTAGTTAGTTTACAACTCTAGGATGTAAACAAAGTATTCCCATGCTAACTTTCTCCCATGAGGTTTGCTTTAATGCTTGTCATGGTGACTTTCAGGGAGCAGGAACATTCAGTTCTCCCAGCAGTAATCGCGCAGACCGGTGTTACAGCGCCCTCTTGTGGTTTCATAAGGAACCGAGCGGCAGACTCCTGTGATGCAGAAATGACTGGGTCGAAATGACCGCCTGACACGTGTGTGTGTATAATCGGCTGCAGGAATAATTACCAAAATCAAAGTTATTTCATTCTGTTACGGGGCATTTGACTTAATGAGAAGCCACTTGTCCGTAATAAACATTGACTCCTAGCTTGGTGTTATGAACAAAGGTATGCTATGTTTCTTTATTCCATAAATTGAAAGCTCTCCCGACTGCCTTCTGCAGATATTGGCAATTTAACTGTAGCTATGACCCGAAACAAGATAAACTTCGGGGCTAGCATGTATTTTCTGGTATGAAGTTATGTTAGGAGGCCACCTCGTGTAGAGCAAGTCAGCTCTGAACCCGAGAAAAGGGGTGGAATATATAACGGGTTACTGAAACAGAGAGCTTGTTATTAATAAACAATTACACCGTAGTTGGTTGGTTGCCTTTGGTTTAAAATAGATAAGGTTACTGTACCTTTGAACAAAGTGGCTGTTCGCGTTTCCGCAAAGATGCTTAAATGCGAGTAGAAATGTATGATTAAAAAAAACTCTCGAAGAGGATTGGAAAAACATAGAATGATTCCTTAATCATCTCCAACCTTTCAGCGTTATACCTGTTCAAAGCAGATGAAGGTTTCTCTTCGATGTCCATCTTAGAAAGCCTTTCTTGTGTGCTAAAGGCAGACATATCATATCTGTTGACAATCAGGTGTTTAGCTTGAAGGCAGCTCGACGATATCATGGGACTTGTAGTCGCGTCACAGCTCATACTTTAACTGTTTGGCCACCATAGGTCCAAATGTGTACTGCAAGCCCCAGAATGCACCTCTTCATTCTTTCCTTTTCCTGTTAATAGCATGTACAGTACGGTATGGAAATCATAAAGGGCCTTTCCCACTGCAGGCTGTGGCTGACGAGCAATACACCACGTGCTGAGCTGGTTACTGGCTATTATTACGCAATTATTAAAAATACATTCTTCACCAATTACATAATGCCATACTCTCCAGTGGCTGTGGAACAGACAGCAGGGATATTTTTGACAGTGAAAGGATACGTCAAAAGCTGGAACGTGTAGCATTTGTACAGACCTGTTGCTTATAAGTCTATAGTTTGGGGTCAGATGTTATAGATATAGAGAAGGTTAAAGAGTAAACAGAAAAGAGAAGATGTAGATCTTATTGAAATACACACTTATGCAGGAAAGAACACCATGTGGTGAATATCAGTTTTATTGATTAACAATTGCACTAAGACTTAAAGTGAAGGAACATGATCTAACTAAGGGGACAATTGAAAACATGTCAATAAAAATTATTAGCAACAGAAAACAGCACATTTGAGAAAGATCTTTCAGAAGCAAAAGATGGGCAAGAGATAGGCATTTCACTAATCGAGTATGGAGCAAATTTTTAAAAAATTCTCCACAGAATAACACAACCATAAAATTCAGAGAAGCATTCTGTGTTTAAGGGCCTTACCTGAAACCTAAATGGTATGCAAATGGTAAGATATGACTCATACTCAAAAATCATTGTCAGAGAACACAGTTACAGTTATCCCCAAATGCATTTCAAAACCATCATGCAATAATAAGAACATGACTGAGAAATCCCCCCACCTTTTCCGGCCCAAAGCTAATTTAGTATGAACTAAGGCTACACTGAAACTTTTCTTTATCTAGTTAATCAAAATCTTCTTCCTGGAAACCATGGACAACACATCTTCCCCTGTTCAAGAGCTTGCATTCCTGATGGGATTGTTGTGCATTCCTGCCTATAAAACTGATAACTTGCACATGTTTTGTCAACAAACTTTTATTAATTAGTTGAGGGATACTAATGCACAAGTAATACAACAAGTTTGGGAGAAAAATTGTAACAGTTCAGATGCAAAGGAAGTGTTGGTTCCTTCATAATAGGTACTACACAGCTTCATTTCAGATATGGAAATCGTTTTACCTATGTATCATAAACAGTCATGAGCTGCAACATTATCTCAGAAAATTCTAAATAGTTTCATCACAATGGCCCAGACAACAGAGCTGGATGCCATATCCTGCTTTTCAAGTAGGTAGCATAGAAAACAAACCACTGTTGTCAAAAGAAAGGGATAAAATTTTCAGCCCATCTAAGGGGATAGCGAAGGATTAACCTTGGTTTTGGAGATAACATTGCTGACAAAAGGAAGACTCTTGAGCCTCCTGTTTCCCCAGGTACAAAAGTCACACCACACACAGTCCAGGTAACTAGAAAGCTCAAACAACACTCCTATTTCAAGCCTATTTCATGTTATAGTAAGTGCACTAAATACAGAAACAAACACACATACATATGCATTGTTGCCCCATATTCAATAGGTAATAATAAAGGACTCTCTCAATTTGTTTGTCATTATGTACTGAAAAAAAGCTCAATTTAATGTATGTGCATCATCATAATGGATAATCATCACAAAAGAAAAAAAGGGAGGTTGGCAGTGGGGAGGGTGCCATACAGTTGTGAAAAGACACATCTATATCAAATTATTAGCAAGCTAAGAAAATCAACTAAATATGGTGTATTGCTGTACTCTCTAAACATGTTGCAGTTAGCTCACACTGCGGGACAGATATGTGTTTTCCCCGTCGTAGGAAGACAGATAGTAAAGGGTGTGATAAAATATAAAATACCCACTGTTAAAAGCAGTGCTAAACTATCATATTGCAACACCAAAGCTTGTCGGGTAAACACAGTCAATGTGACGTCATCAATTAAACAAGAAACAAGCAGCTGATGAACTGATTCTGTGCCACAGCATAACACTCAACAAGTGTCACCATTTCTAACATCCAGTCATTACAAAGGTGCTAGCTGTTTAATACACTCACACACACACACACACACACACACACACTTCCTGACACACAAACACACACACACACACAAGGTCTGGACAGCAAAAGGTCCTTGGACCAATCAGTGCTCATCTAACTTTTGCCCCGTCAGCTGAACCTTGTTAGAGGATAAAAAGTTCAGCTAACAGAAACGCGTGCATAATCATCCCCACCTGAATCAACTCTGATTAGTAATGAAGGAATTCAGATTGAATCTTTGCTTTACGTTATAAAAAGTCACATGGTAGGAATGAAGCCACCCCGAACACGCACACGCCTTAAATCCAATGCTTCTGGAAAATGCTCTGCTGACATCAGTGCTTGATTTTTAAAGATGACTTTTGACATTTTGGTGCAAAATTCAGACAACTTGCCGGTAAATAGAACATGGCAAATGGGTTAAACTTGAGTGAGTTTTATCAGGTCCTTTAAGGTAAAGTGGCAAGTAAAGCACCCTTATTATCTCACCAGAAGATCCTCACATCACAATTTTATACAAAGCTATCAGATTGCTATCTAGTTAATACACAATAGAATATAAAATAGACTCATGATCTGCTTTTTTTCCTTATTCAAATGCAAGCAAGTCATTATTTTCAGGACATAAACTATACACATAGATCAAATATTTATGGAGTTTTCATTGGCTCAAATTGTTAATACAACTGTGGATTCAAGTATCTACTTTAAACAAGTTAAAGTGAAAATATTCTCTCCTCTTAAGTAATTTAATTAATTTACAAAACTGAACTAATTTAACAATAAATGACAGAGGACACTTAAAAGTTCTACAAGACCATTTATGGCTTTCTGGGGTGAGTCATAATTATACTGTTGTGTTAGATGCTTTACAGATAATGATGCTACTTTTGATAGCTTTAAATCAGATTAAAGTTTTCATATCCTGTACATTGATATGGTTGAATACACCTGGAGTGCAAAAAGACAAGAGAGTATTAAGAAGGTCAAGGGTTAAAGTGCAAGGCAATAACTTTAAGCTTCCAGGAATTCATTCATATAAATTAGTTTCTTTAAATCTGGATTTGTAATTTTTCTATTTAATAAATCAACCTCTCTGTACAAAATTGTAACTATAGTCTGCCCTCAGTTTCGATGACCTCAGATCTGAGGTCAAGCGCTAGCCTAAGAGTGGACTCCTTTGACATGGTGTTAACTCACTTGATTGTGCTGTAATGGTGCAACCTGCTTCACATACAATTATTCCTTCTGTCAGATATTTAGCTTTGTTAGACTGTTTTTTATAATGCTTCAAATATTGTTTTAAAGTCTGTTTAAACAATGTCACATTAAATATAGTTGTAACTACTGTAAATATGTATTTTACAATTGAACATTTCAATCAGTTTGGGGGGTTTTCTGCTTCTTAATGTGACTGAACTTATGGCTGTCGAAGCAGATCTCTTTCTGTGAAAACAACCCTCTGTTATGCGACAGCTGTGGGGTAAAGTGTGGATTAAAAGCTGACTGACATTGTAGTTTGCGTACATGAAACATCAACAGTAAAACTTTTTTTTAAAACTAAAGTAAAACTGAAAGCCAGTAAAGAAAAACTCAAACTTATATCAAACAACATTGCACTACAGCACACAGAAAAATCTGACTTATTAGGATCCGTGTCAGGCTTAAAAATATGACAGATGGCAACATTGCTTTGAGTATATAGATATATAGATATAGATACTGTTTATGTACACCGTACAGTATTTCTTTGAAAAAAAGTAAAAACATTAGCTTTCATTATATGACTTCACCATGCGAATAGATTTTCCTCTCAAACACAAATTACTAGCAGAGAGAATAACTCATTCATTTGGAATATTACTCTGTTTAAAGGATGTCATCCACGTTAAGGTCTGAATTTTAACTTTGCTGTGAGTACAGAAACTGAAATGTGTGCCTTAAAAAAGGAGAAAAAAGTGGAATGGAAATAAAAGAGCATTACAGTTGTGATTACTGTTTATACCAGTGCAGACAGAAACTGTGGGATGGCGAACCAGGATTCAAAGCCTGCATTCAATCTCTCAATTCAAAATGATTGATTTGGCTTTCCTTTCAGTGCCAATTCATCCTGGAGTAAGAAAGGTCATTCCTGGCATAACATTAAGCAAGCGTCCTCTCTTGCTCAAGGGTTGACAGAAGCAGTGCTACTCGGAAAACGAGAGTCTCTTGGGTTTGTTTCGTCTGATGGAGGAGATGGGTTGTCTGTTCTGGCCTGGATTATCACTGTCCGTCCGCTCAGGGATAGAGTTTGGGGACCGTTCGGGTCCAGAGGGGGGGGTGATGCTGGGGGTTGAGTTTTGTGTAGCAACAAATGAATCGGTTTTAGTTTGATTAGCCGTATCTGAAGAGGAACGCTCTTTTGGTTTGCGGCCCCTCTTCTTGCCTGTGGTGGCGCCATTTCTCACCTCAGTTTTGATCCCATTGTTTTCCAGAACTTTACTCTTGTTACTTGAGCCAACTTGACTGGCTGTTGCACGAAACCAGTTCTGGTTAAAAAAGCAAAAAAAGCAAAAAACAAACAAACACAGCAGTCAAATCAGAATCTGGATTGTCAGGAGCATGCGTCCAACTGCATTCAAGTCTGAATACATTTAAAAATGATTAATTATTGAGTACAGTCATAAATTCCGAGGTAAATCAGAGGTGTTTCAAGCAGACCATCAAAATAGCACATTTTCTACAGCAAGAGTCAATCAAACTTCAAAATTGTGGCAGTTCTTGTATTCTATATGTAGTGAGTTTATGTAATGCCACTTTTGAATCAGTCATTCCCTGTGCATTTTCTTCATCGAAGGAAGCACATGTATACCTTTTAATCTGTCTGTTTTGGGAATACTGTCTTGGTTTTCTGAGTGTAACCCACCTGTGAGTGTGTCTTACTAATGTGGTACTTGACACCACTCTCTGAGCTAAACTCCTTCTGGCAGATCAGACAGGTGTACTTTCCCATTTCACCACCACCCTGCAAAACAAGTACAAAGATGTACACACATTTAATTTTTTTTAAGTGTTTTGTTGTAGTTTATATTTATGTGATGTATTACACAGCACAGTAAATGCAGACAGGCAAACAACTTCACATGATGTTTATGACAGCCAGAACACTGTCATCAGGTTTAAAAGGAACCAAATTCATGAATATACTCCAGATGTGGGTCTGTACCTGGCTGCAGTTGGCGAGGTGTGCCTTTAGCCCAGACACACTGGAATAGATAGCTTCACAGTTCTAAGACGAAGCAACATAAAAAGCAAGTGGATAAAGACGCTCGATAAACGTTCTTACCATTATTGTAAACCCAGTAAATTCAAAATTCCCCATTTCATTTAAACAGATTGTGAATGTTCTTACTGCATTTGTGCAGCAGATGAATCCCTTCTCCTTGACTTGGTTCTTCCAGGCCTCTAATAGCTCGGGGCTGAAGTTGGGGAGGCCAGGGCGAGTGTAGTTTAACTGTACAGAAGACAGCAATTTTAGCAGCATGACTGATGGCGTGACGATTTGATTTGTTTTTCAGCTTCTATTGGGATGTGTCCCTGCATAACCCTGTCTGGACCACTGTTGTCTTACAGTATTCAGAATTGAATACCTCCACCTGTTTGTGAGGAGGCTCCTTATGTATTTACAGGATATCTATATGTTTGTAAATAAATGTGTTGTGCGCTTACTGCATTGACTTTCTGTCCTCACCCTCTTGCTATCGGGCACCAGGTCGTCCTTGATGCGCCGCTTGGTGCCCCAGTCTTTAGCCAGCTCATCCTCTGCTATCTCCTGCAGGTGGAACACGGCCACCTGAGCTGACCGCCGCCTCACTCTGCCACTGGGGGTCCTTTCAAAGTCCTCCCCATGGCTTTCAATTTGTGCCACTTTGCCTCGCTCCCAGTTCTGCTCCTTTTCTCTCTCCTTCTCTTTAGGATGGCTGGATGGAGCTCTCTCCTGCCAGTCTCTCCTGTCAGACTGGTTATGTTCCTTCTTCTTGCTTCTTGCTTCCTCCTCAGACCCCACCTAAAAAAAAAGACATGTTTTTGTGGTTGTTTTTTTTTAACAAACTGGGAGCATCTGTTTAAAAAGAAACTTAGTAGCAGCATGTTTTAATGATGACTGTAATTACTTCCTAAGAAACTCTTACCCTGTCCTTGCCGGTATTGTTGTTTGTGTCAGTGATGCTGTTCTTGCTGTCGTTGGTGGTTGTGGCGGTTATGATGGTGGTGACGGCCGGGGGGTGTTCGGTGCGTATGTGGTAGTCTTTCCCTGCCTTGGAGCGATAGCTTTTCCCACAGTGCTGGCACAGAAACACAGGCTTCTCATCGTCAGAAAACTCCCTTCCACAACGCTGCTGGTGATACTGGTAGCCCATCAGACTGGAAAAGTGGGCTGAGCAGCCCTGTGCATGCATGTTCGTAAAGGAAGTTTTTGTTTAGTGGTATGACATCAGTTGACAAAAATTAACGCCTATTATGCAAGTAAATAGGTAAGTGGACCAACAGAGAAGTCTAACAGTACAACATTACTGAATTTAATCAATACTTTTGAAAGACATAGACAGCAGGGGACTAATTTTTCAATGTCCAAACCCCTCACAGAAAAGAGTCCATTTTTCACAGCTCTTTCTTTGTCTGGCTCTATCTGCCTTTTGCACTCCGGTGTGAGTAATGGAAACAGAGTGTTGATGTGGTTTTGGGCAACATGTCAAGCAGAGGGCATGAAGAAAAAAATCAGTGAAAGGTAAAATGAGGAAGAGACAAAAGAGCCTGAAGAAAATGGAGAAACCAAATCGAAACTGGCAGATGAGGAGAGTGATAAATGTGACATGAAAGACAGAACGATTGTGAAAAATGGAGCAGCATGGAACGAGAGACAGGAAAAGAGAAAAGGACAAGAGGAAAGAAGGAGCACATACCTCACTGGGACACTTGATTCGTCCCATCTGTTTGAGCACTCGGCGCAGCCTTTCTCTCTCTTCGTGCTCGTTGCCCGTCTGGCCTTCGCTCCCTGAGGGCTGAGGGGGAACAAACACACCGTTGCATGAGCGTGTCCCACAACAGCACATCCCATTCCTTCCAACTTCATAAAAAAAATGCAATGCAAAATGTGTTTCCCATCTCTGGTGTTCACACTGTGCCAGGATCATTAAATGATTTCATGGTGAGGTTGTTACTTCAGGCATGTTTATGACAACTGTCAAGCTCGTGTTTTCACTTGAGTGTCAGCTGGTGCCAAACCCAGACAAGACCACAACAACAGATGGTGGGGCTGCCAACACGAAAGAAAAAAAAGCGCAAGGAACTGGAAAGAGCCTGGACCTACAGAGGAATCCCTGTGGAGTAACACACAGAGATAATTGACACACAAGCCTTCGGTTGCTATCTGTTAAGGTAAGGTACAATAAAGCCCACCTGCAGGCAAAATAACAGATACCAACCCAGCCTGTTATTTACACTGACAGGAAAATAAGCTGTGAAACTGCATCTGCATGTATTTATTAATTCTTTGATAAAACACAGAGCAAAGGCGTGAACATGCGGGGATTTCAGAGCCAGAACAGGCAGAACTGAAACAGTATTACTATGAGGGTAACTCTACAGACTCCAAAGATGCTGTCTGCTCTTAAACATTTAGTGGAAAAACATGGCATTTGTTGAAGAAAATATATTTTTCAGCATCAAAGATTTGTAATTGTTCATCTAAGTAACCCTGGTGAAAGTCCTGTGGACTGGTGAACTTACAACAGAACTTTGGCAGCACTAAACACTGAGGAACACAAAAGAGCACAACTCTAACTTCAAAGGGGTCAGTGTGTAGGCTGCAGTGAATCTGAATACATTTAAGTACTAACAATATATTTGCCTTGCTTTAAAGGAATGGGGAAATCTAGGTGGTCAGAAATAATGTTAAAGGCCTGATTTCTGCCCGTCAGAACGGTTATGTGCACGGTAGAACTGAAATCTGGTTTGGGTTGGACCTGTCCTGACCACTGTTTCATCCCAACATGCATACAAAGGGACAGAATCCAGTTTTTAACAGAAGTATAGACCATAAGGCTGCGGACCAGAGAAGACAACCTTCAAGTCATTCTCCCTCTAACATCTTTTATTGAGAGAATCACCTCATAGGAGCATCTTTAGCTCCCTGAGATGGATCTTCCCACATCTCAATTATTCATCTATCTGTGAGTATTTCCTTTTTAGGAATCTCAGCAAACAACTAAAGGACAACAGAAAGGTTCTTTGTCACCTGTGTTACCTGCTGATTACTACAGGTCTGATTAACTGGAAATTAAAACTCCAGAAAAACATCGGGCCAATAAATTACAATCTTCAAATTTGCATGATTTGGTTCAGATAGCGACATTATTTGTATTTTTTAATTTGAGCCATGTAAACGTGTTGAGTGGATTAATTCACTTCCGCCCCTTAGGGATGTATTTAATTGAGTGTAATGGCCTTGAATTATCTTAGTAGCCAGCATGATTAAAGCTGGTTGAATCCTTTAAATTTGAGGAAATTAGTTTCACAGCTTTCTTTAGTGTTCATTTTAGCACAGGAAACACTGGACCATCATTTGTGAAAGAAGAGGATAATTCCATTCCATTATTTCGTGTGGCCACATCAGTCAAAGCTTGGCTTAGTTTTTTTCATTCAGTTGTGCTAACCATGATTCATGTAAATAGATATGAGCAGCAGAGATTTCTCTCTGTAACACTGCGTTTTTTATCAAATCATATTCAATTGTGGAAAATCTGAGCAATGTGACTAATATGAGAGTCCATTCTAATCTGGGAACATCTCAGTTTTAAACACACACTTCACACTCTGATGTTCCTGGCATTGCTGGACTGTAACACTGCCAATAAGGTCAGGGCTGAACAGGTCCAATCTGAAGACAAATGGCAACATCAAAAAGATTAACTTTGCAGACACTGGGAGCTCAGTAATCTATCATCCCCACTAAACTGGCAACCTCAACAAACCTCAACGTGAGGACATTCTGTACTGAATTTATGGGATTTAAGCCTATGCATTCACAGAAAAACACATATAAACACGCTAAAAGCAGCAAAGTTTACCGACTGTGGATTCATCAATCTTTTATAGTACCTTTAGAACCAGGCCCTGTTGAATTATTGAGCGAACCTCAATGCAGTAGCATTGCTCTAATGCAGGAGAGTGATGATAATATCTTCATGAAGCTATCTGCTGTCAAGTTAATATAGCAGCAGAAAGAAATGGGAACACCTCAAACACAACACCATAATTATCTTAAGAATCTATACTTTCCAAATTCATGGATCAAATCAATGAAAAAAGGTCAGAGCAGCTGAGGATAATTATACATAAGACAACTTGTTTTTGAGAACTTTTTTTTTCTTTGATAAGATCGATACTAAAATAAATTAAATTATTATTAGTTGTTGCTTGGCTACCAGGTACAGAGAGTGGAAGACAACAGAATGTATTCCAGTGTTTGCTTTAGACACTGAACCAAATTTTGGTAAGGGCAAGATTTCCAGGTGTACCTTGGTGCTGTGTTCAGCCATGGTGTGGTAGTTGAGGCCAGCCTTGGACCTGAACTGTTTGTGGCACTGCTGGCACTTCAAGGCATCCTGGAGCTGCAGGGCCACACAGAGGATCAAACTACATTTGACAAACACTCTTGCTGTCTTTCTAATCAGATTCATTTTCATCATTACATAACACAAGGCTGTTAGTGTGACATGGAACATTGAGGAAGCATTAGGAATCTCAGAAAAACTGAAAAAGGAAAAACAAGTTAAGAGTGTTCCTTCTTGTTGACATCCATTCTTGTCTTAGTATTGATTTGCAGAAGGAGGTGTTATGATGGTGAGTGACCCGACGTTGGCTATTCCTTCATTGTTTAACAACACACTGTCACATTAATACAGCCAGACAGGCCACTGGACTAAGGAGCTACGATGTTTTCTCTCTGAGGACCAGGCTACTGAACCAGTGGATCCGGTTCATCCACTGGAAAGGCTTGGTTTAAAAGAGTTGAGAAACCTCTTTCTATGATTAACCTCTTAATTTTTTAAACGACAACTAACCTCAAAAAAGGGCTTTTGAAACTACATCCTTCTCCATGGTTAATATCAGTATTAGCAATATTAAGCCTTCCAATATATTCAGAGGAAGAATTCCTAAGAGAGCACACTTCACTGGGAGGTGTTTCTGAAGATGCAACAGTCACAGCTAACAGCCACTTCGGGTTGAAAAATATATATAAACAGTTGTCGAAAATAATTTTTAAAAAAGTGTCTAAAAGCATAATCAAATGATTTACATATCAACTAAAATATTACACTGAACACAAACATCTTGTAAGTTCTATCCAGTATTTAGGCAGACGGACTCCTGAAGAAAATGCAGTGAAAGGAAAGTTCTGCAGCAGTGTTTGTCTACATACTGACACAAAAAAAGAAGAAGTAATGTCACAAAGAGGCCAGCCCTCTCCCAGTCTGATGGACACCTGCATGCATCACCGACCTTCTGGCAGATCTCCATATGTTTCTTGAGGCCGTGGATTGTTTTCCTAGTGACAATGGAGCAGGTTGGACACACCACTTCCCCCCGCTCTGAGATAGTTCTCTGCCACTGTGTGTCAGAAACTCCACCTGAGTAACATCCAGAACACAGTGCAACTGTTATTCAGCTGATCGGATTGTCCCCATGTGGAGTGTAGAGAGTGAAAGATAACCTCTGCTAAGGTGATCCCTGGTCTCTCATTGTCACCTGTTAATTTTATAAATGCACCGTTACTCGTTTACTCAATTAAAAATACGAAAATAAAAGCTACTTACAGTGACAATATTCTTGGGATGCAAGCCCGAAAAGGATAAAGTGTGTATGGAAATTTGGAAATCACCTAAACGTGCTAATCCTATTAGCTTTTCTTTTGTTAGAGATCACTTGTCCAAAACCATCAAGAAAATACTTCCACAGCCACGACAATCAATCCTTGTCAGACAGAAAACAAAACCAACAAAAGGTTAACACCAGTAAAGGAAACTAATTATTTTACCTGCTTTACCACCGCATAAACTGAAAGGTGATTGGCAGGTGTGCTCACAGCTAGTGTTGAAGAAACATCTCAGGTAACAGCCTTCTGCTGTCTACTAGCTTGTAAGTGTGACTAGGATTTCAACCAAGGGTACTGTTTAATTCTTTAGCATCTTAAAACTGAAATTGGTTAGAACACCAGGGATATTCTAATGAAGAAAAACAATAAAGCACACCATGTAGTCTAAATAAACTGCTGGAGCTTTGGGAGTAGAAGGATAGAAGCCAATTAGATACCTCAGAAATATTCAGTCTGAATAAATGCAACATGTCGGTCGCGTGAAATGAAACACTACTGGTGTGATAGGATTCTGCATGGAGGATGTAAGTATGAGTCACTCAGTAATGCTTTCATGTCACGCATTTTAGAAATAACATATATCAAAACACATCAGCTCAGAGAAATTTAGTAGGGTAACATTTTAGATGCTGAATAGAATAAAAACAACAGTCATAACTGAAGGATCTGTAGAGGGTGTGGACAATCTCCTAACTTTTGGCTTTGTAAGTCTGGCCTTACCCCTTTGCATAAGCATCACAAACTAAATGCATCCAGGTGTAAGTCACATTCTATTAGTGATCCTACACCAAAGTCTATTGACACTGATAGTAAAAAATGTCTGCATTCACCAGAGCCAGTGGCAGCTGAATCCTTCTTGAATGACTGGCTGGATGTGGGTCTTCTCTGAGGCTCCTCACTGAACCCACTGCCCTCTGGTCTTTTCACACGGACTGCCTTCAGCTTCTCCTCCACCTTAGTCATTCCTGCAATACAACCAGAAAAGTTTAAATTCTCATTTACTGTAGGAATGCATGGATGCAAAAGATTTATTTAAAATTAAGTAAATGATGGGAGCCAAGATGGGAATGAGTGGGACAATGCAAAATAACTAGATTCTAAAAGGGGGCAGTCAATATTTTAAATAGCCTTCATATAAAAAACGGAGACTGAATATGATAAAAGGAAAATGCTTGAAGCTGTAACTGATCGATGGCAGGCAGAAAGAGAGCAGCGCTGAGCTGTGGTGGCGACTATTTTGTAGCTCTAAGTATGGTGAGTCACAGAACATTTTTCAGCATTTGAATGAGACACAGAAAGGAAGAGGCTGCTTAAGTCATGCATTTGTGATATGTATTTACAGGGTGAATCACAGATTCTTTTTGCCAGAATTGAAGCATCTCTGCAGTGGATACATCTTGGACGTTTAAATGAATAGCTCTTTGATCAGCTGTAGTGGGATAATTCAAAGGTACATAATCAAGACCACAGGTCCAGAAATCAAGGCACAGAAATGCAGACCAGAAACCTGTTGTATTCAGAGCTGGATCTGTCAGCACGTGATTCCCCACGTAAATTGTATTAAAATCTCACATAAAGTTTAAACAAAGTTGTTTTTCAAAAGGCCATTTTTCGTTAAAAAATGAAACAGGTGCTCACCTTTTAAACCAAATGTTCCAGATATAGAGGGTTGTTCTCCAGTAAATTTCTTAGGAGTTTTCTGCTTCCGCCCTGGCTCAAGAGAAAATCATAGGAAGGATAGGTGATTATGTGCTTCATATCATCAGCATGCACACCTCCAGATAAATTATTTGATATTGGATAATAAGAAACTTTCTTGAGTAGAGACATCTAACAAGGCTGTGAGGTAGGTCTGTTGGAAAAGTTTTGCTGTAATCTTACTGTGCCTCATTCTCTCAGGGTCTTCATCTTGGAAAGAAGGGGGAAGACTGCCACCCTCACTTTCACTTCCCCCTGCATCGGAGGATGTGCTTTGGGACTGGGACTGCGGCTGGACTGGCTGGGAGTGCTGAATCTGTTGTGAAGGCTGGTTGTGGCTGTGCTGTTTCCTCTCACTCTTGTGGTGGGACAGTTCTCCATTCTGAGAGGGTGTGGACACCTCGTGGGTCTTTTTCACTTTGAAGAACAATGGAGACGGGGGGCTGTTCTCTATGGGCCTACAATTACAGACACAAAAGATTTTGATATCACTTTAGTTATAGTACTACAAACATCATTATTTGAATCAGAGTGGATGGTAATATGGGGCGATAATTCCAGGCACCTTTTCTTGGTGTTGGACTTGACAGGAGTCTTCTGAAGCTTCTGTTGCTCCTCCTTGGCATCCTTACCGGCTCGGTCTGGGTGGTTCCACAGCTTATGCTTCTGCAGGCGCACCTTTGTGGCAAACACAGCCTCACAGTAGGGACAGCCATGACTCAGCTTCTCAGCTACAGTGGGCTGAATATAGATATGATGAGAGGGGGTCTAGGTTCAGCTACCTCCCTACACAATATCTGATGATAGTGGGTAGGTATAACTAAAATATAAACATAGATAAAATATATATATTCATTGTCGAATGAAGCCAAACTTAATGACTAATCTCAGAGGCGGAGTGACTCACCCCTTGGCAGCGTTGATAGTGGTATTTGACGCCATAGATGCTGGGAAACTCTAACCAGCAGCCCGAACATGGACATTTAACTCTGGAGCGGCGCTTAAACTCTTCCTTCCACTGTACTATCAAATGGGCCTGTTCGTGGTTGGGTAGCGGGGTGAGGAGAAAGATGAATATATGTTTTATTGTTTTTGTTGTACTGTATAATAAACATTGTCATTGGAAGCTGCCTTCTATGTGTGAACACTGAAGGCCAGTTTAGGTGCTCACTTATTGGAGAAATACTTACGGGGATGCTTCTTAGTTCTTGCACCTCTGATTTAGGGCGGCCTTTCCTCTTCGCCTCTGCTGACTCATCACACATTAGACCTGTAAAAATGAGAATGAAAACCATGTCTGAGTTAGAAACAAACATTCATAATATGCAAAACAACTGCAAAGGTTCCCATTTTAATAAAGCTTATGGGTACATTTGAAATATGTTTTCAAACGTATTTTTCAGAACTACAGAATAGTTCTGCTGTGTGTGTAAAGGAGTGGAGGAGAAATGATCTAAATTGCTGGGGCCTGTGTGAACCTCTGACACAGCAGACTGACAGCCTCAGCTCTCTCTGCATTCTCTGTTTCTCCCTCACTCAGTCTCTCATGTTGCTGCCTTCCCTCTTTCCCACCATGTGACTAGCTTTCTCAGTTTTCCTGTCATTTTCTGCCCACACCCTTCCAATTTTTTTGCTTCTACCAGCTCATTACTGTTCTCTTCTCTACGACAATTATCCACTACAAAACATTTCTTTACACTCTGCTTGAGTGAAGGGGAGCAGAAAGATGAAGAGTGGGTTAGGATGGATATGCATGTGGGAGAAGGTGACAAAGGTGGGAGAAGTAAGGAAACTGTCTTGAGGGGGAGAGAGGGGAATTGCTCTGACCGAGCATAGTACCGTGTTGCAGGTAGCCCTGCAGGGTGATATATCTTTACATAGAGAAAGATCTCAACTTTCCTGTATTGATCTGACAAAAACGAAAAGCAGCAGCAGAAACGTGGCAGACAGGAGACAGGAGTGCTGTGGAGTACAAAATCCTATCAGACATAGATATTTTCAAAGGGGAAACTACTTCAGGTAGCTGGCAGTAAGGCAGAATGCAGCAGAGCTCTTCTTTTAACTTTCACTGTTCCGTGTTGAGAAACATGAAATTGTGTCTGCAAGCTGCCCTCCTCTCCTTAAAACTTATTGGTAAGCAGACACAGGAAGCATGCGAGCATTCTGCTCTCCATTTGGAGCAAATCCCAAACTGGATCAAATTATTCATTGTGCCTACCATGCTAGTTATAAAAAAAGAGATATATTTACATTTTAGAATGTTATTTTTCTTCTTCCAAGTGTCACACAGACTAAAAACAATGTTGGTTCAAAAAAAGCTTTCAACCAAAACACATCTCTTTTTATCAGTGAAGTTAATGAGCGTAAGAAACACCTAAATATTAACCTACCATGAACTCAACTTTCCATCCTTTCTTTGTTTGTTTTCAGCCTCTTTCCCCACTCAAAGAAGCATAACACAAACAATTTGGCGGATTATATGTAATCTCTGGAAACTAAAGTAAATATTAAAGGAGGACTGAGTAAAATGGAATAATTCATGCATTATTGTTGGCTGTTGTTGATAAAATGTGCAAACACATACATAAAATCATGCACTGTTGCACAAACACAAAAACAAAACCATTACCAGAGTGTGTAAGTGTGATGTCTGTGCATGGATGTGAGTGTATTAATATTCTCCAGGCGACAGAGCTTTTCTTTATTAGCTGACTGGGTCGCAGCTGTAGAGGTGATGCAGTCGCAGTCAAGCTCTTGTGCTGAGAATAAAATTGAGCATGAATTTAAATTCATGTTTTAGAAAAGAAAGCTCCTGTTAAAAAAAAATAAAAAGAAGCATAATTAATTATTTTGCTCCTGGGAAAGATATGATCTTGTTGCTATGGGAATAAGATTCACTTGTCTTAGTTATCACTATCAGATGCCTCTTCATATAATGCAAAACAATTAGGCCTGCATACTATGATGCATGCTTCTGTGCAAACAGGCAAAGGTGAGGCAGAAGAGCCACAGACTTTACCCCTCTGGTGTTAACTGTGCCGACACATTTCACTGTGTAAATATATTTTACTTTGCTTTGTTTGCATGGTTCTGAGCAGCAGCCTGATGCTCAAACGTTCCAGCAATCACAAGCATTGTCTTGGTATGAAACAAAGCAGGTCCATTGTGTCAAATCTAAACCCCAGTTCTCAGGCACAGGCTGTATGAATAAAACAGCTGTTCAGCTAATGTCACAGAGTGAGTCGCTCCCAGCTGTCTGCAACTGTTGCTCCACACTGGTTTCCACTGAAAGTGGTAACCAAGCAGGGGAAGAGAAGACAAGAGAAGAGTCAGAGCCCAGGAGTGCTGGCAGCTGTCTAATGATCTCAAATAACCTCTGAGTTCTCCTAGCTACGCCTGCAACTGCTCTCCCCGAGTGCATGGGTTCACACATTACCCACATAGCACACACACAGACACACTCACACACACACACAGAACACTCATTTATTTTCCTTGACAAATGTTCACACAGAAGCCTTTGTCTGTGCCTGCACAGTACGTTTTAGACCTACTGTAGTTTATACGAACAACAAACATAAAACAAACAGTGTTTGCCGCTGACTTCATGGCATCAAGACAAAGAATCACAATTTCCTAAATCTCAACAGACAAGAAATGGAGAAACTAACAACTATTTGCAGGACAATCACACAGACAGTAAACACCTGAACTCAACATTTTTCTTTTCCTCCTCTCTCCTACCTCTTCGGTTCATGTTGGAGCTTTTCCACTGCCACACACTCTTTGATTTTTTTCAGTACTTCCTATTTTTCTGCACGCTATTTTTCGGCATGCACTGCCATTTCCTCCCCCCTCTCACTCCTTCCGTTTGTTTCACACACTCCATATTTCCAATCATATACACACATACACACCTTGTTTTAAAGAAGTCCCCATATTCCCTCCCAGTCAGGCCTGAATCCAAACAGTGAGTAAGACAGAGAAATGAGGTGGAGCAGCACCAGAAGAGCCGTACAGCCCAGACACAGACCGACTGAAAGAAAACCAGACTCTCAGTGAGTCTGGCTCTAACACTCTGCGTTTGTTTTTTGTGCTTTTGCTGCCCTCCCTATCTTTTTTCTGCTGTTGCAGATCTGCTAAGTTGACAAACCTTAACAGCTTTTGACTAAATTTTTCCATTTTAAGCATACATATTAAAGACAGAGTCAGTTCTGTTTAAGGCCTGTTTAATATCGATGTCTTCCTGTGGTGACCCAAACCCAGAACCAAAGTACTAAAAAGCTTCTCAAAGACAAACTACCATCAGTTGAGTTACATGAACTGAGACAAAAATTCTGCATGTAGCATAATTAGATGTTCTGTGCAATTTGGAACTGGTGTGATCAATGTTGTCCTCACACTGTGGGACCAGTGGAGTGGCTGCTCGTCAAACACAGCAGTGTGGAGTCCAGCAGCGTCTTCGCAGTAAGCAGATTCTGATTCTTCTGAAATGCATACATCACTGAAATTAACAGTGACCCACACCACTTCCCTTTGTAAATCTAACTAAATCTCATCGGATGGACCCTTACAAACTATGATGTCAAGTATTGTGCAGGAGTCCAGGCCACGTCTCTCTACTCCCTCCACTCCACCGTCCTGCCGCTTGTGTGTTCTGCTCCTAAATTTCTAATCACCGCTGACCAATCCCTATGCACTCTGACACTTTTTTTTTTATTTAGATCCAAATTGAATTTATTTTCAGATTTCAGATCCAATTGGCAACAATATCAGCTAAAAAAAAAGTTGTGATTGTCAGTAAATTATCAAAATAATCAGAAAGCAATACTTAAAAATGTTTTTTTTTTAACTAATTGAAAAGAAGAAACATGGAATTTTTTTAATTACTGCATGAAAAATAACTTTTAAATATTTTTTTGTAAAAACAAGTCCCAAAACGATTAGGATGGCAACAAAAAATTGGAAAAGTAAGTGGCATGAAAAAAAGAACAGCTCAAAGAATATGTTGCAACTAATCAGGCAAATTAGAAATAAAAAAGAGCACTTCTTTTAGTAAATATAGATATAAAAGATGTAGTAAAAACAGGCAGCTCAGCAATAAATAAATAAAAGGACTTTTGAATTTGACTCTCCCACCATCTACAGTACTTCATATTATCAAAAGATTATGAGAGTCTGGGGACATCTTTGTATACACTAGATATGGCCAAAAGAAAAAATGAAATCTATAGTGGATGATATACTGGAGGATCTTTTGGCCCTCAGGCAGCATTCCATTAAAAATAATCATGGTTGGTGGAAATTTCTGCATTGACTCAAGAGTACTTTCAGAAATCACTGTCTCCAGACACAGTTCAGTATATCAAGCCAGTTAAAGCTCTGTGATGTAAAGAGGACATATGTCACAATGCTCCGGAAATGCTATCCTCTTATCTCGGCCCATTTAAAATAAATTGCAACAAAAGGTAAAAAGTTATCCATGATGTTCTTTGGGAAGCTCGTCAGCTCAGTCATCCTGGCTAACAAGGAGAGGAAATGCGTGTTGTTTTCTGTCCTCTGCTTCAGGAAGACCTTATACATTTATGCAAGACGATGCCAACATGCTTGAGTACCACAACATGCACGAGAACCCTATATTGAATAATATTTTCAGACAACCTTCCTCCTCACAATGTCAGCCCGCAGGTCTCCTAGCTTCTTCATTTAAATAAGTAACGTGGCCTGTTACTACTTTTAAAGATGTGCTTCTACTATGCGCTATTTTTTTTCCAATAAATGGCAAAATGTTTTAATTTCAACATTTGATATGTTTTCTTTGTTCTATTTGTCAATATTTGTTTATGAGAAAGGAAACTCATTATATACTGCTTTACAAAGGGAGCAATTACATTTAAAAAATAAGGTTTGGGCACATACATGCTTCGATTTTCCTTTCAGTGGGATGATTCCAATGGGATGATGGGGAAGTTTAACTGACAGCAAAACAGGTGCTTTCAGATGTAAAGCTAACCCGAGAGGATTCCTGCATATGCAGATCACGGTACAGTTTACAGCAAGATGCAACCAATAAGTCACATATACATATACAAATTAAAAACAGCATGTGTTTACGAAGCAGAGCATATAGTCCTGTATATGAGAGCCAGACAGACGCTGTCTGCTCCAGACTGTTTGTGTGTTCTCCTGATGGACAATGATTCACCAGCTGAGTCTCTCCAACCCATCTCTCTGTGCTCCCTGCCATCCTAAAGCCTGCCAAATAAGTATCTCAAAGGACTCTGCTCAAAACAAAACATAGCACCTGGATGAGACAAGGGAAAGAAGTAAGTTTCAACCTTTCAATCTATAATTGCCATCAAAAGAAATAATCATATAAAAAATACTGAGACACTATAGTTGACTATAATGCTGGATGGGTAACACAAAAAAGGGATGAGGTGCTTGGAGAAGGAGGGCATAGAAAGAAATAACAATTACACATGAAAAACTGGTCAGCAAATAAATCAGGAGGTGTGAGTGGATGGAGAGGAAAAGTATGAGCATAATGAAAACAGATAAATATGCAGGTTCAGCAAACTGCAGCTGTGGGCTTTCAAAAGACAGCCCAACAGCCCAAGTATAGAACTCTGATATGCTAACACACGAGATTACATCCAAATACACTTGGTCACATGTCTAAGGTAAAAAAAAAAAAAAAAAACCTGATATGATTTGCAATGCCAGCAAAAAATAATTGAGTTGATGGATTGCAGTGCTCTGCCATGTGCTACCAGAGCTCAGTGCCCACTAATGGAGCGGGCAGCTGAGCTGAGAAGCACAGTGCTGGGGTCAACATTACAGAGAGGCAAAGAGGACTATGTGTCTCTGCTTTCTCTGGGAGTTAAGTCTCATTATCACGGTTTATGTCAGCTGATACACAATGTTAAGTGGTTTGGAATTAGAAAAAGAGCACACAAAAAAAATAAATGGGACTCATCCAAATACAGAAAATTTTCAATGATGAACAAACCATCTTCTACAAGTGTATTAAATTAAGATACATTTTTGATTTTATTATTTTGGTCCAAATGGCTTGAAACAAACTGGTCTTCTTGGATAAATCGATTTATACTGAGCTCCATTTTAGGAACAAAATGGTGCCGAAAGGGAGAGACAAATTCTGTCGGATACTGTACTTCCTGTATACTACCTAAAACAAAGAGCTATTCTATAATCAGGTAGAGTTATACAGACAATGAATAGTTTTAAAGAAACTTACCCGTAAACACATCATTAAACAATGACAATGTTAACACGGTAATGTTAACACGCCAATTAAAAAAATGCCAAAATGTGTGTGCCCAAAAACCTAATAAATAAATGAAAAACATATCAAACAGTGTTAGATTTTTTTCTAACAGATCATTTAAAAAAGTGTATTATTACTGAAAATAATAGGAATTAAAGAATAAAAGAATACATTGTATAAGGGGAAAATCAAATGGTTGCAGTTTCGACAGAAAACAATTAATAAAATGAAAATGAAATTAATCAGTCTGTGAAAAAATAAAGTTAAAAAAAAAAGAGGAGTCAGTGAGGAAAACAGGAAAAAGTTCAACAAAATAGCTACACAACGTAAAGAGATACTCAAAGAGAATCATGTGACAGCACAAAGAAGCTGCTTCATCGCCATAGCTAACACAAAGAAATTCCCACTTTTGCTCAGGATGCCTGAAGCTTTCCAGGCGGGCTCTGGTTGGACTGAATGTAAAGAAGTTATTGTCTTCAACTTCTGTTGAGAACGTTATTTAACCAGTGAGTTAGACCATGCTTGCCAGTAATGTTCTGATGAATAAACATTAGTGCTGATTTGAACTGCTGTCTCTTTTCAGCTGTAATGCGCTATACTTTCTTCTTGCTCATTAAAACTACAGATGCATCCCGTTACATGTGTTATTGATATCAACTAAAGAAAAAAAAGCATGGAGCCTCATCTAACTTTTTTAAAGTTCTGCAAACTAAGCACTGTGCTTTCCACAGCTTTATGTCCTAACTTCCGTGTGCTATATGCTGGGGTCTACAACATTTGTGGTTGTGAGAACACGTTTTCCAACTAGATTTTCAGCTGGAAGGGCATGTTTGAGTAATCAAAGAATATTCGTACCTATTTCACATCACATTGATACATTTAGTTGAATGATCCTGTTCAGTTAGCCAAGTTTTGTGAAGAAAAACAGTGCAAATAAAACTCATTTGCTACTAAGAGCAGTGTTTTCCACACAGTGATGACACAGAGTCAGGCCACTCAGCAATTTTAAAGGGCACCCATATTTATTTAGTGACACATTACCCCTTATATTTTCTTTTTTCTTTAACTACATAAATGGGAAATCTTTTTTCACTGTGAAGCTGTTTTCTAACACAGTGATTATCTAAACTCAGTCTCTAAAGGTACAATAGTCTTTAAATATTTTCTGTTGGAGAGAGTTTTGAATATGAGTGCTCCAGATCCCAAAATGATAAAGTGATGCACTGCATATTTAGTGTTAATCAGTTTGACTATATAGGTCTCTTGGGTGACCTTACCACAACGTGTCCATCAACTGGCAGAAAGGACAGCTGTCAAATTTCCAATAATATCTGTTCATCAACAACTTTCAATAAACTAACTTAATTTTCTATCTCAAAAAAGGCATAACCAAATTCAAACAGGATGCCAATAGTAAAAAATAAATGCACACAACTGTCTTTCTTATGCAGTTTTTCATATTGCTGATCAAATTGTGTCTTATTTGTAAGTTGTTTTGGATGAAAGCATCTGCTAAATGCATAAACATAAACATTTTCACAGCAAGAAAGAAACAAAGAAAGAGGCTAACACCCCAAGGCACCCTCATGGACCACATCCTCCCCAGTGAGTTATCTGGTATAGAAAGGTTACGGCACAATCACAACAGTCTAACAAAGCTCACAACTCAGTTTTCAGGTTTTCTTTTCATTTTTAAACAGGAAGGATTTCAGGAAACCACTAGTGCCACAAGTTTCCAGTCAGACAGAGATCCTTTACGTTGCTTCATTGTGTGCAAAGTTTCCAGGATTATGGATGAATGTGAGAGCTGATACCACAATAACACCCTAAACTATGTTTGGACAAGGAATGGTGAATGAAAAGTAACCAGCAGGATGACGGCAGATAATGAGGTAAATGAGAGGGCATATTGAATAAACACACTGTGCACAATTGACCCAGACTGAGATCTGAAAAGCCTCCAGCCTCCCTCGATATTGATGCCTTTGCTTCAAAGGGGTACACTGGCGAGCACGAAGCTCATTACTTTTAGAGATACAGACTTATTTTTTTACACTAAAAGGCTTTGAGGTGCACGCAAGAAAGCTATAAAAGGCTGGCTGACAACCATTTTCATGTAAAACAATTGGTGTTTTACTGATCAACAACTAATTCTGAAGTAGAATTCCCTAGCTGAAGTAGTGACTCTCACACACACACACACACACACACGGAGTACTTCGTGTCCACAGGACTGATGGACTGGACTTTAAAAAAAAGTCACCTTTGTTTAGTCTTCTCAAATTAAAATGTAACGACTAACCTGCGATAAATAATTGACTTTGAAAGTACATCAACATGCACTAGCCCTGGTTTATAGAATCATTCAATGTTGTGATAGCTTAAAAGTTCTACACAAGCAAATGAAAAATTAAGTCTCCTTAACGACATAAGAAACCTGAAGAAATACTCAAGATAAGATAACCTTTCCAAAGCAAACCAGACATGTCTTTGACTACAGTCGAGTGTAACGTAGATTTATATCTTGTGCAGTCTAATCATGCTGGAGGCTGTTCTTAAAATAAGCTTTAAGTAAAAAGGAAAAAGAAAACTTTGACATAATTACAGCATCAGAATACCTGAGAAGCTATACAGGTAAATTAAAACAGATCAGCCATAAAAAATGAAAGTGAGAGATGCAGACACAGTTGGGTATGAAGTTACTGAAAAAAGTCCCGTAAATCCATCACCTGCAATTACGTTTCTCACAAAGTCGGTCATCAGTTCAAATGACTACAGAAGCTAGATTTAGTGTATCTAATGGTTGGTCTCAAAACAACAAGGGCAAAAACAATCACTAACCCTCCAATGATGGATTTATAAACTCGTCTTGTTTATGGAGTAATAAAATGTAAGATAAATCTATAAAACATGAGACTTGGAGGGCATGCAGGGAAGAAGCCGTCATTTAGTTTGCCTCCCCATCTTCTACAAAAATAAATACTTCAAGAAGAAAACAGCATATTAGCTGGCAGACTGTATTCGAGGTTAGAGAGCATATTTTGAACCAATGCCATACTGCCAAAAACCAGATGAGAGGAATAATCATAAACAGATATAGTATACATTTTAATAAAGGTTTCCAAATGTTGTGTGTCCTAAGTTTTGATCTGCACACTCAGCTCTGTCTAGCAAAGTAAGCTTCATTAGAAAGTGCACATAGGGAGCAAAAACCGGGTCACATGCACAAACCCATAAAAAAGGTGAAAAAAATACAATATTAACACAGAATGACAACAAACTCGAAGACCTTGGCGAGTGTTGTGTGCATGGGAAGGATACTCTATTTCGTAGCAACCAAAACAACTGGGTCATATTAGAATAGGGCTCGATTTCCAAGAGTGCCTGATGCTATTAACAAAGTCATGATGATCTGCTGGTTATTGGATTGAAAAGTAATTCCCCAGTCTGACTTTCACTTTTCAAATCTTCCATCTCCTTCCAGATGGCTAAGGGTTTCACTCATGTCAGTACTTGGCAATACTTGTTTATTTGGTTTTTTCTAACTGTAAGGCAGACCCTGGAAAAATGGTGTAGTTTCCAGGCACTTTTGTGGCAAGACGGATAGAAATACATTAATCCTGGAACCACTGATTCTTACAAAACAAGTCGCCCATTTAATATAAAAAAAATAGCAATCTGTTCATGAAACACTGTTTGTGTGAGTATATCATATTGTATACAGAGCGTAGCTTTTCTTCACATGCATCTCCATGGGAAATTCAGACCTGGGCCGTAACCAACAAAAGCTCAATTCAGTGACAATATCAAAACCAAAAGCGGCCGCTCTTCACTCACTATGCTTGTTGTTGTTCTCAGGGCCAGATGTCGTTCTAACAAACTCCTGGGAATGTCCATGCTTGCTGGTTCGGCCCCTTGGTAGCCCTGATGAGGACAGCTTCCCAAGCCTGGGGCCACTTGGGATCTCCATGCCTGCAAGAGTCGACAAGGGGGATCAAACTCACAGGAGACGTGACTATCCAACAGGCAATACTGAGATGCTTTCTGCTGCCCATTAATCTACTTCCCTTTTTTGTCAACACATTATTAGCACTCCATTACATCGATGGACTGTGATAATGCCGTCTCTTTGTTCTACAATGCAGTTTGTCCACGTCTGCCATCGTGCCGTTGGGCTGAAGGTTATCTGAGTAGAGGCACATGCATCATCTGCAGTGGTAATGAGGGTGTGACCTTCCATGTTTCATTTCAAAATCAATACTCTCACTTACACACTAACTTCATGCTCTGCCCATTAGACGAAAGGTGAGTCAAACAGAGGACGTGCAATAGAAATCCCTTTCCCTGAGCTGCTTTTCCTCCTCTCTACAGACAAAAAGTCCATCGAGGCATCTATTGATCATCTTACCTGTCTAGAAGGAAACATTTTTCTGTTCCAAAGCTCGTGAAGCCCTTTTGGGTTGTGTCATCATCATCCATAGTAATCTTACATTACATGTCAAATTCAGGCTTTCTCTTCTAAACCTTCATCCCCCCGTTCGCATAGTACAGTCCAATAAATGTAATTTATACAATAGCTAATTATTCTAAGTGATTGTGATTACAATCTGACATGCTTTCTCTTTGCACACACTGTTGTCACTTTTCTGATCAATTAGAAATGCGAACAAAGACTCGTGCTATTGGAGGCCAATCAGTGTCCAATTTCATGTCATGCTATGAACTGTCTACAGGCTAATATAGGCTCACCCATCTCTGTGGAAATGTAGTTTGTTTTAGAACTTTAAAACAGTGCTAGAGGGTATAATCTGCTGAAATGTACACATAAGAACAAACAGGAACTACTGCTTACAAAAATAACTTGTTTTAGAAACAGCGTTCCTGTGTTATAGCCTCAAATTAACAGAGTCGTCATGGTCAATGCTGTACAGCTAGACAAATGCTACATTTCCAGAGAAGTGCATATGACAGCTCCTTAGGTTAAAAAAAACTTTTAGCAGTGGTGTAAGAAAAAAATGGAGCTTGTTTAACCAACTAAAACTAAGTACTCGCAAAATAAGTTAGCTTCAGAGCACATTTTGTGTGTATTTTTTCCATTTAACAATGGATCAGTCTGTCAATACACTGAAAGCCTAGAATGTTATTCCATGTGCTCTGACTGAACAGTATTCTGCAGCTTCTGTTTTCTTATTCTACAAGGGAAATTGGTGAGCAGTTCAGTCTGTAAAATGGAATACTATCAGTTACTTTTAATAATATAACTTAATTTAAAAAAGAGAATTTGAAGAGCAAAATGTGCAGTACAGTTGTACAGTTAGTGGCCAATGTTGAAATGATGAAATCCAACATTGTTTTTCTCAGCCAAGTGATTCTACAATTTTAAGACAGTCTGTATTATTACCATAGAATTAGCTAGACACAATAAAACCTGGTGACACCCACACACAACTCACACAATCTGCTGACAAACCAACCTGGAAATAAGTATTTTACACTGCACGTGGCACCCTGCCATCCTGTGTTTGTCAACTATAACAAGGTTACATTTACATATTTGAGGGAATGTAAAAAAACAAAACAAAAAAAAGTAGTGCTCCACTTTCTTTATTTTTTGCCGGCCACACCTACCTGATCCGAGGCGGTCACCCAGCACCAGGGGCCGGGTGGCCGTGGGTCACCCACGTGAGGAAGGAAGGGGTCAGGAGACAGGCACCGAAGTGGGCGTTTTTCCCCCCGATGTTATGTTACATGGCAATCACACCTGCCGAGCGTCGAGGGCCGTTCAGACTGAGGTTGTGGGGCCTGGAAGGAAGCGGACAGTCGTCACCGTCGTCTTGTCCTACCACTCCACTGGCGACGGCCCGGTGGACGGCGAAAAGCAGGGCAGGAGGGTAAAAAATCCCAAAGCTGTCTGCTCATTAAACGAAGTCCATGGTACTTTCACCTTATTTCCAGTTTCCAAAAGCCTTCCCCCCCTCCTTCCCTGTATTAATATGTATACCACGAGGCACTTCTCTTCTGAAACCTCTGTCTTCTCCTTAGAAACTCCAGAAATATTTTTAAAAAATAGCCAAGAACGACGGGTAGGTCCCCGACTCCTTGATGAAAAATATTAGAATACGAGATGGTTTATATAGGCAGTGAAGCAAAATGGCGACTTTATTGCGAAGGAGGAGAAAAAAATCCTTGCGCTGGCTGGAGCTAAAGGGAGGCACAAAAATATGTTTAGTGTAGTAATTTCGACGCCTTCGACACTGTCGGTTAGAGTAAAAGAAAACGAAGCGAAGGAAAATCAACAGAAACGCAGAATCCCCGTCGGTTTTGGTTCTCTCCTCGGCTCCTTACCTCGGGATTATTTCGCTTTTTTATACGGACATTATCTCGGCGGCCGTGTACAGTATTACAGTAATGTGTGTTGGGTCATGCGCGTATCCACTCCACCTTTGACAGTTGCAACTCCAGTCTTGAGGCAACTTGCAAACTCTCGCGTTGTTATTTTCTATTTCGAGCGGAATAATAATGGGGGTGCTGGCTAATAAAGTCGCTGCAACACCGGCTCCTGCTGCTCTTCCGACGTAACGGCGCTTGTGCCTGACGAAAAAAGGGTCAGGGCTGTAATTCCTAATATCAGACCTGGCAAAGTATTTACCCGCGACTTCCAGCTAAATGTTCTGGCCATGTGTCCTTCGGCGTGGTGTGTTTGGGTTCTATCAAGTCCGACGAAATGTCTGTAGTCCAGCCTGTGCAGGCTATTCTACTTGTCACAGGCCAGTGCTGTTGTCATATTCACCCCCCCAAAAAAAACTGTTTGCCAAATAATTAAATAAATACATGGACATTAGCTAAAAGCAAAAATAAATAAATAAAAAAACATATTCGGTGTAAGATGGATTGTCCTTGTTTTCCACACGTAAAACCAGGCTGGAGTCATATGGAGCACATCCTCCTCTTCCTGTAATAACAATAGACTCCCTAAAATCCAAGGTCAACAATCAAGCATAAGCTATTAATCCTATTGATGTTAATGGGGGGTAACAGCACATGGCCCCTATCTTAAATGCAATATTGGATGTTTGATTGTTGTGCCTGCAAGCTACTTCCAGGATATGTGCACTTGATTGCCGTTTGCCCGTTTAACAGGACTAATAATAAATGTTTCACATATGGCATGAGCCCACATATTGTTTCCACATCACAGCCCTCTCAGTGAATCATCCATGGCATCGCCGCCTCCCTCAGTTTTTAGTAAAACAGAGGGACTCTCTTAGGCTTTGGTTGGTGCCAGTCATCATGACCTGATATTTCCGATTAGTGGAAATGATCTAAAACCATGATGTAATTTATGTCTATAACAGTTTTTAACATCACCAGTGGAGGGCAGTAGAACCTAATTTTTCGTCTTGCTCACATGGGAAGAGGGAAATGAGTTCAATCCCACCTGTATCTGACACCACTAGATGCATAGGAGGAGTCTAAAGAGGTAGAACATACCACTCAGAAAATTAATAAACCAAATTAACCCATACAGCAACACATGCTGTTTCGCTGATTCAATTCTAGCAGCTGCGTTAGACTATGTAAAAAGTTTATTTTCCCCAAGTGAAAGAGCCTCAGAACACATTGTGTTTATACTGGGTTTTCAGGTAGGGTTTGTCAGGTTTGCGTACCATCCACAAGGAGGCAGTGCAGTTGTGTGCTTTCATAGGAGCATCTCCCGTTCTGTTCAAAACCGTGGCCCCCGAAGCATCTGTCACGCTCAAATGTGTGGTTTGTTTCTCTCTGGCTGTGATTTGTGGTGGTACAAATACATTTGGGATATCTCTGATGAGTCCATTAAGACTTGAGGGCAGTCACAGCTGGTTCATGAGACGCTGAGCCAACTGAGGGGAGGCATAGGTGGATGTTTTCTCACAGCTGTCCTTCTTCAACACAACATGGGAAGGTGATCAAGTTGAATCTGGCTCCTGCCTTTTTTCCTTAGCTTTGGAAAAAAAATCTGCTTATGAAGGCTTTTTTCAGTATGCACTGCTTGACCCACGATTAATCCTCAAGACTATGGCAGTGATTTATGTTTCTACTCCTACACTGTGAGTGAGCAAAGGGTTGCTTAACAGTTTTTTTAGGCATGACTGGTGGAGTTTTTGCGTTGTCTCTTGACCTCTTCTATCAAAATTCAGAGAGCATTTATTCACTTTTCTTTCATGATGACCAGCTTTATATGAATATTTAAATTTTTTATATAACATTTGGCAGCTGGCCAGAACAATTAGAGTCTTCAGCTGTTTATGGCATTGAGCAACTTCCCTGAACTAGCTTCTAAAGGGCTGCTTGACAGTAGCTGACGAGAGATGGCGGTGCATGTTTCTCAGTCAATTTAAGTGGAGTGAGAGGATTGAGAAACAGCTGATCAAAGTCACAGTCATATAAAAATAAGTGAGCCTAATGAAGACTACACATGAATGTGTTTTAGCGAATAGTCATCAAGGATTTCTCAGTAGAAATCCCACTTTTCCTAATGTCACACAGTGAGGGAAATAGACACTTAATGGTAAACAGTCCCCAATTAACTCTGCGTCCAACCATCTGCTGCACAGATTGGTTTCGTGCCAAGGTTAGTAAGGTCCCTGTTCACTGACTCTGTTTATCATACATGTGGCCTGGTTTTAACAGGTGAGATGCTTCATGTCTCCCAGTAATTGGAACCCAGAGACTGTGTGTGTCAGTGTTTGAGCAGGAGATAAAGTCTGTGTCCGTTCAGGCAACAGTTTTTCATTCACAAAGTTCAAGTCCTAACTCATGGACTCATCCGTTCTGGCAGCTCAGAATAGATTCAATAACCACTCTTTAAATGTCAATGTTTGACTTTAAATTACAAGTGTTTCTCACAGGGATTCATTTTCAAGCTGGTTTTCTAAACTGCAGTTTGAGAGTGGGAAAGAGGACCATCCATCAGCAGCACAAGGGTAGTGTAGCATTGCTTGGTTGCTATCTAAGTAGGCTTTCTATGGTTATGATATTAGATGAAGTGTATAGATTATTCACACCTAAAAAAGACCAGCGTGTTTTGTGTTCTGCAAATGTAGCAATAAAACAAAAAAATACAATTTTGATCAAATATACAAACAAAAACTACGATATGTGTATTTATGGGAACCCACTTTAAGAAAAATATATAGTATTTTCATATCTCAATGCAAATATTAAATATAATTTTAATTGTGCACACTTTGTGTATCTAATACTTATGGCAATGAGTGCAAACTTAAATATAATATTTCAATCCAATTTTTTATTTACATTGGACCAATTTACAAAAAAAAGTCATCATACAGTACTTTACAGAGAAAGCAAGCAAATCAAGGAAAAGGACTGGAAATAGAAAGAAACAAAAAATTTGAGGCTGGAGATGCTTGCCAGGGGAGAAAGAGTTTCACATTATGTTAATGACAACGGAAATGGCAGAACTGTACCCACATCGAAGGTAAAGACAGGAGAGTAAACAGGGCTGCTTTGTGTCACTGATGCCCCGAAGCAGCTTTGGCCCATAGCAGTATATTCAAAGGGGAGGCTAGGTCTTAGTACTCACATTTACATATATGAGGAGATGCTTTTTAATTTATGAAAACAGAAAAACAAAGGAACGCCTTGATCTTGTTCAAAGTTTTATGATGATGAGTTAGAATGCTTATTCCATGAATCTTCAATATCTACCTTTAAATTATTTGTTCCTCCCAAAAAGTCTTGTAATACACAAATCATCCGCCACTGACTAACCACTGTTTTCTTTTATCATTGTATTTCTATTCACATGCTTTGCTTATTTTGGTCTTGTGTGTTCATTTCAGATGTCTAAAAACCGCTTCCCCAAACAAAGCCAAGTTCCTGGTATCCTGTCCTATCCTATCAGAGCATTCATGCAAGAACAACATTTTTGATAGAACTATTTTTGTACAAAATTTCTTGAGGAAAAACAAAGGACTGATTTGGTTTGCTTGTTTTTTTTTTACGTCTAATGTGTCCTTATTTGTTAAGTCATGCCTATTTCTAAGCAAGCACCTTTATAGCACATTTGTATATTTTTTTAATCAGTTATATGTGCTTCAATATCTGCCAACTCACCCTCCATCCTTCGATCAAAAACACACATATACACACCCATGACCCAAAAAACAACACTTATTTTCATTAGTTTATTTAAAAAAGACATCTTTCATTATATTACACACAAACATATGCTTCTCTATCGGTAAAGCAGATAAATATCTTAGAATATTCTCTTTTTGCATCTCAGTCATCAATCATCAGTCATTGTAAACCAAAAGCATTGACATTAACAGTACATCAGGGAATCCAACAATAACACATTGTCCTTTCTCCCTTTTAACAGTCGGTTACCTACACTACGCAAAGACCCCTCATCAAGACACAAATAAAGGGATGTCACAGATTAGGAAGATTTTGTTTGCCGGATGTGTGTTTAATTACATTATTTCAATGACCCAACATCATCATCATACAAGACTGTCTGCTGCCGCTCTGAGTTCGAGCCAAGGTTCTATCTTTAGTGACTTTCAGAGACCTGCTTTCTTGGTATTTGTCAAGTCTTGATTCCCAACCATCTGAAAATTCAGTGTCGCATAAGGGGCAGAGGCAGGACATAATTCCACATACTTTTCTTGTCTTATTTTTTGTGTTTGCCACAGTTGACATAAAGTTTACTGTATCTTTTAGTGAAATGTCCAATTTGACCAAAATTATGCACATTTATAACAGACATTGCTCTATCATCTTCATCTATCACCATATGAATTATTGCTTCATCAAGCATAGTCAGGGATTGACTGTGATTCCGTTCATTATCAAAAGACTAAAAGTACTGCTACAGTATTCACAGATTTAAGTGTAATCTACAACGTTCATACGGGGTAAACACATATATGTGATTATATACACATACACACACATACATACACACATACATACATACATACATATATGTGTCTGTGTACATATATATCTTCTCACTCATTGAAAGTCACAATACAAAAGATTTATCAATGGAATGACATTCAGCTTTAACTGGTATTAAATTAACATTTCCTTTGCTTTAAATCCAGTGACCACATTGTAACAGCTCATGTAAATCTGTGCTTAAACCATAATTCAGTTAACCATGAATTGTGTTCCTGAACAAAGTTTATGCAAATTTTGCCCATTCAGTCGCATCCTAATAAGTCTGGAAACCAAAAGGAGATTTGTTATGATCGAGCCAGCCTCAGGTTTAAGTTGTCGCTTGAATATTGAATCTTTCATTGCATCATTAAGTTACAGCAGGTATCCCTGCTCTGAATGGAGTTTTGTGTCTGTAAACCAGATTGGCCGTGTTGAAAGAGAATCCTCAAGACCAGTTGGCATTTAGCCTACAGGTTTATCCTTTCCCCTTTCACTGGTCGATTCTCTGCTCACATATCTGAGGACAGCAGCTCTTCCATGGCTCCTAGAGACGTATTGTGACAGGAGACGAGGGAAAGGGCTGCCAAACAGATTCAGGGATGAGCTAAGAGAAGTTTCCAAAGGAAGCTACAGAGAAGGGAGAGAAGAGAGGCAGTGCATAATTAGGATTCATGGGAACACAAAAAGCTGAGGTTAAAGTGCAGGAATTGATTATTCCCACATTGTGCACTTCATAACCTTGGCCGATGGTCAAAAATAGATTTCTCACGACTGGCATGATTGTTTATGTACCACGCAGTCCTGTGTGCTGAGCTTCTAATCGAGGCTTCTCTCTAAAGCCACGATCACACAATCTCAGAGCCACAAATTCCACAACAATCGAAAAGTTAAACTGAAAAAAACAAAAGGATTAAATGTAAAAATGACTAATAAGGCAGGCAAAGATGAAGAAATCCCCAGAATAATGGTTCTAAATCAACCTAATCTATAGAAGAAAGACCATCAAGTATTTTTTCTTCATGCCAATATCTCTTGTTCTCTTTTTTTTTAAACAACAGATGCAATCAAATGGTCTCCCTGGAAACCAGCCAGTTCCATCCCTCCTAAAATGTCTCAAGTGTCAATGGGAAGGCAGATTTTCCTCTCCCAGTCTGCTGGTATTTCAGTACTAACCCCTCCTCTCCTGATAGCCAAAGAAGATGGACCACCTGTTACAAGACACAGACAGATGTAACTTGGCACTGAAGTGAACCCAAACCAGGAGGCGGCAGAGGGCCCGAATGGAGAGCCTATAACTAGAGGCTTACGCAGAGAAAAACTCAAACTGATTCTCTGATAGAAATTCTTTTAAATGAGCTCCTTATGGAGTTGTCAAAGACTAGAAGAAGAAGAAGAAGAGAAGGAGGGGCGTGTGGAGAGAGGGGGATAAACAGCAAGAAAGCAGGATTTGTTCCGAGCAGTGACACATTCCTCCTTTTTCTTTGTCTAACATGTTCAGAGTTTCATTCATATTCTAATTCACATCCACAGTTCAGCTGGCAGGCACCACACAGAGCTCTTGAGTGAAGCTCTGTGAGGATGGGCAACATCACAGAAGTAAAGCAGAATTAGACGGTTACCAAGACAGTATCCCATAGTAACTAGGGCTCTACTGACAACACGGCTATTTGTGATGGAACAGGGTTAGATGCTTTATTGAGATTGTTTGCAAAATCTTTAGTCTTTTCATAATTAGTTAGGATTTTCACACATGGCAGGTGGTTTCATAAAAATACACAGACTGATTTTGACGAAAATGTGATGTGTTGCTTAGATAGGACCCACTGATAGTTTATTATAAAGACAAACAAACAAGCAGGAGAAAGATGATACATATCTCACTTGGCAAAGACCTGAATACTCGCTCCTGGAGCTTTCCAGATGTTCCGGTCCCTGCATGCCACAAAGAAGCTGCGACTGTGAAAGATATCAACCTCACCTTTCACTTACTGACTGAAATAAACAGCCCAGCTCCCCCAAAGCTACAAAAATACAAAGTCTGGCGTCTAAAACCTCAAATGAGATATTCAAGCAGGAAAAAAATGAGATGGTTGAATACAGATGAAATAAATAAGACACTCTAGTGTTGAGTGTGCAGTATCCAGTCATTTGCATTCAGCTTTGATGCTTTGATGTAAACTCTATCCTCTTATATATGTAAGAAACATTGCCATTTTTTTAGCTGAAAACATTCCTTGAAAAGTAGAGGAATAAAGTTAGTTTTGGTCTGGTTAAAGTTCCTTCCAAAACAGACAACAGCAGATCTAACATAAACCTCCTCCCAGAAGATATCTAAAAAATATCAGCTACATAAATTCACCATAAAAATGTAACTGTTTGAATACATTTTATTTTTTAGTACAACCATATTCAAATACTTTTCTTTGCTTAAGTGTTAAACTTCATTCATTCTTTTGTATGTCACAACCTATAAAATTAGAAAGAGCTGTTACAATTTTACAATTCAACATTCCTGTTCAGATGGCATGCACATTACATATCAGCCTCTTACAATGACCCAACAAAAACCCAAGGCCTTTCAATCATTTCTTTTGCCATCTTAACATTCTTTAAATATCGTTCTTTTCCAAGCTAGAACCATACAGGCCATCTCTTAGCTCATCCCGATGGGTCCTGTCACCTACATGCAGGTGTCACAGGTTCAATTCCAGCTTGAGGCACTATCCACTGCAGCTCTTAATAGCATGTTGTGGCAAATGCATTCTCACAGCTTTTTCTAGTGTAATATTAGCCAACTATTCATTTGTACATAAGTAACACATTCCTTGATAGGAAATTGTGTCCTGTCCCTAAATCTTTCAGCTGAAACCATTAGATGTACTAATTTATACATTAGTAATGCAAGAAGATAATCTCCAAAGTCATCTTTCAACTCCATCAACTGGATGAACTTCATAACATAAAAGCTATAAATCCCTCTCAGTCACAGACAGCTTTTTTTTTCCTTAATTCACTCAATTTCTTTGGCTATTGTGTGGAGACGAACATTTTCCACAATAAATTGCAACAGAAGTAATGTAATTTTGCTCTGAGCGTGAAATAATATTTCAGTGCTTTGAGCAAGGGAGCCTGCTTTAGACAGATTCACACAGAATGGAAAATAGGGTCACATAAGCATGAAATAAAAGAACTGTCAGAACAAGTTTTCTTTCCCTGTCCAAGTCCATCCATTAACCTCTTGACCAATCTAATTTCTTCATATCTCAGTGAGATCAGTGGATTTCTTCCCCTGTATTTTACTCTGTCTGTTAAACATGTCACCCACAGCTAATGCCATCCTCTTTTTGTGCACGTCAGTCTTTCTTTGTCTTGTCTCCATAAATGGAACCAGTGGAGACATTTTATATGCCATGCACTTTGTGTTTTACTCTTATTCCATTTCTGTTGATGATCAACAGACACCTAATTCCCCACAGTACAACTGAGTTGTTTAATGAAATAAGGCACAAAGCTTTCCTTCAACATTCAGGATTTCTACATTGGGTGTAAAGTGTGGCTGCAGGAAAACTCAATGAAGACAAATTAAGTAGTCAGAGTCAGCCAGAAAGATGTGTGAAGCTGGAAGGCTCATTCCCAAGATGGCTAGAGGCTGCCCATCCCATCCCATTTAGCAAAAAGGAGTACAAAAAAAGTACTCTTTGGACTGGTTTACTCACTACTTAACCTTTTATGAATGACTTTGTATGGCATGGGGAATGTCCTGTAGAGGAAGACAGATCCTAGAGGAGGGTGACACTGAAAAAAGAGTAAAGTGGGTCTCTCAACAGCCTCAAAATAAAATGATTCACTTAAATGTGGGTGCACAACGGTGGAAGGAATGTGAGCTGGATTGAATTGTCTTTCCGTATTATTTTGACCAGATATTGATTTAATACCTCAAGGAAATTTGGTCATCTTGTGAGAAGAGAGCTTGTGCCTAGTATTTTAGAGCTAATAAGTTTACAAAATAATTCAGACAACTTGTTTTTTCTTCTTCATTACAAGACTTGCGTGTTGGAGTAAAAAAAGCACTTTTAAACTAAATCTTAATGTGTAAAAATAAATGGTTCTAAATAGTCAGCTTACCTTTTTTGACTCAAGCTGGTCTTTGTTGGCATCTGCCCTATTGACGTATCATAAATTGGTTAAAAGGAACTGGAACGCTTATTGCTTCTGAAAGTTTAAGAATCACTGAAGAGAGCATTTTGACTCCAGACATGAATAATTTAAACTCTTGTTATGGTTGTCATGGCTCACATAACAGATAAACTCACATCAGATTTCAGCTGCATCACCGTGTTTTCATCCTCTTTTCAAAAGTTATTGTGAGATCAATATTTAATTTTTGGTAAATCCATTGGAGATGAATCAGGCCTGACAGGTGGTACGACGGCTCCACTAAATCACACTAGAATTGTAAGCGTATTAAGAAAATCGTTCTGGGAAAAAGGTTGCTGGTGCGGAGGACTGTGAGTGCAAAACCTTCATATGCATTTAACTGCTGTTTCAGTCTCGCCTTTCTCCTGATTCTTGCAGCCATGTTTCCATTTCACCAGCCATTTCCACACACCAGGTGGAGGTACCAGTCAAAATATCTTTTCTCACTGGTTCATAAGATTATTTTCCTGTTTTCTCAACACAGCCTCTTCACAGCGGCTCAGGCTCCAGCAAAGCTAGCAGTGAAATATTTCTCTTTCATCATGAACCGACCTGACACGCCTGATGAGCTACTTGAGTCATCTTTGAGAGTTGCTGGTTTAGTTACTGAGCTACAACACGTGTCTGTGACTACATGCTGCCAATAAGCTGCCAAAAATCCGTCTTCGTTTCTGTTACCCTAAACTGTAATAACCTTCCCACAATGTAGAAAAGGCATAAAACTCCAAGATACATAATTTATCATTGTTTTATGAGACAACTTATGTGAATTTCTTATTTTATCAGACCTCTGGATGCAGAGGCCTAGTCAGTGCCCATGGCAAACATTTTAGTATTTTCTGACAAGAGTGGATATGAACTGCTGAGAGTGAAATTATTCAGAAAAATAGCAAGTGAGAAATCCACAACGGCGACAACAGAAAATAAAAATCACATGGTTACAATGAACAAGCCTCATCAAGTGAACTGTCAACAGTGATTGACTGAGGCAGTTCTCTAGTGCTTGGGTAAAGAAATGTTTACTCGAGTTTTCAGTGCAGTAAATCGAGAGTTTTCATCAATACAACAACAAAGTCACAAACAACTGCACACTGATTTCCAATTCCATACATCTCCTAGCTAGAATGCAAGGTCTCTGACTGTCTCCTCCCAATGTGACTCATCATATATTTCCCAGTTTCTCCTCACTATTCCCTTTCACAACCCGATACAAATATAAAGCAGTTTGAAAACACAGTAAGACAAAGACATACACGTCCACTTACTTCTGCTAAGGAGCTGTAAGTTGCGAACCTCCTCTCTGACCTGCAGCTGGAGGACTTGTTGGAGGACCTCTTGCCTCAGCGTCTCCTGGACGATTCCCATCCTCTCTAGCTTCTCCCCATTCAAACGCAGCAAGGCCCGCCCTGCCGAAGAGGGTTTGAATGGGTTCAGTTTTTTTTTTATCATAAGTAAACGATTACACAGATTAACTTTTTATGGTTACAAACTTTTTATGTTTGGTAATAAATGCGCATGATCTCTGATAAGACTGAGCTCATTTGACTATCTGGTAAAGTATACTGTTGTATACATTTATCCTGATCTATCATTATTATATTTTTCAAAATTCTTTGGGTATCTTAGTCACCTTTAATTGCTATGTGGGTGGTTAATTCAAATATTTAATTTGCTGTCTTTTTAACGACACATTGCTTTGACTGTCACATAGGGAGAGTGACGCCTCCCATTAGATGACTCAAATCACTCACAGTTGTAAATGTATCGGTGTTTGGTATATTGATGTTACCATGAAGTCAACTCCACAGATGAAGATCAGATAGGATTAAATGTCTTGATATGACATAAAGCATGTGGAAATGGACCTTCTGCAGAACACTCACATAACAGCATATTCAGCTTGAGCAGAAAAAAGTTTTTTTCAAATAGACAGAGACATTTACAATACCAGTCCTGAGTGAGCTTGTAGATTTAAAGTCTTATTTACATATATGGCTCAGGTGTGGTGTTCTCGCTCTACTCTTCAGCCCCCCAGTTAGTGGCAGTTAATGTATAAAGAAGATTGCCCGTGTAGCCTGTTTTCTGTGGTGAAGTTTTATTACAGTAAGAAAATTGACCCTCGGGACACACACATTTAACATCCCATTACCTTTTACACCAAGATGCACTGGCACAAAAACAGACAGTTTGAAGGACTAGAATGTGGGGAGGTGCATACATGCAAACAGTGTATTATGGCTGGATGAGCTACAGTGTGTCCTTCATTGGTGCAGAAAGAGGAATCCATCATACCTGCAGCAGCTCTGCACGGCACCCAAAGCATAATTAGACCCATCATTCATTCAGCCCTCTCTCCATATCATACCATTCATCCATATTTACTTGATCTAAACATCAGCGCATAATTTGCATTTCTGTCTTCCTCTTTTTGTCATTAATCATTGCAATGGGAGGGAGGCACATCCTGCAGAATTATTTATGTATGTGTGCATTGTATGCGTGCTTGTTATACATGCATCCCTCTCACAAATTAAAGGCTGTTTATTGTTCCATTGTTTACTCTGTGTAGATAGGAAGCATATCTGCAGTCTGAGTGCAAGAAGAGCGGAGAAAAAGGAGAAGACATGTAAATAAACTGGAGCCTTTTGTCTCCTGACCTTTAAGTATATCAAATTAACAGAGTTGGTAATGAGAATTCATAAGTTAGGCTTTAAACAGAATGCCAGCTTTTTGAGAAAAGCAGTTTGATGGCACACATTTGTCATGACCCACGCTGATAAAAGATGAAAGTGCCATTAAAAACCACCTGGAGAAAGGAATTTCTTATTACCATATAATGCTTAACAACTTCAGCACAGATAAACTGAGGAAAACATTATGCCACATAACAACAGTAATGCTATTCACCATTTTGATTAGTTATTTTTCCACATTATTCTAAACAGGTTTTTTTCTTTCTCACATATTGTTTAGTTTATATCTACTTTCTGGTGTTTTTAGCCACAATAATCCAATAACTCATCAGCCAATCAATGCTCTCTTATAAATTAATATGACGTTAATTGCAACTTTGCTATTTTTCTATTTGACCAAAAAAAACAGAACTGACATTTTATCACTTCTCTTTGGATAAATCCAGGGATAGTTTTGTTTTCAATTAAAAAATATTTAGTCAAGATTGAATGCAAGAATGGTTTACTGAATATAAAAAAAATCAGCCATGATTGTGATTCCTTTCTTATGTTGTGGCTCTTTGAGATATAATCGAACATTCTTGAAATAGACAAGGTAAATGAAGGCACAACTGCCAACCAGCACTTGCTTTAAAGCCAGATGGGCTGCAACAATGCAGACAATGGTTACTTTTGATGGAACAGAGCTCCAGTCCCTGAGAGACAAAGCCATGACAAACCAGTTAGCTTTTATAATAGTTCAGTGATTGCTGTGTGGGTGCTGTGGTATGCCTCCTTCATACGCGCGTGCTGTTTAAAGCAGATTATTTGCTTTTCCTCAGAGTCCAGGTGCTCCCTGTGTCTAGGACACCGAATCAAATAATCCTTTTTTTTGTCCATCTTGAGGACACAACAATGATAATTTTCCATTTATTCTGTGCACATTTTTTACACTGTCTGTGTATACACACTTGTCAACCTCTTCACCCCATCTCCACAAAAGCTTTCTCGAGTGTGCTTGCCAACAGCAGAACCAGCGTGTCCTAGAAAACCCCCTGCCCTTGCTCTGTGTATCTGTGTGAGTATGTGCATGTGTGTACAAATGAGACAAAGCAGATGAATAGAGCTCAAATCAATTCCCCTCAGACAGACTTAATGCAGCTTCTAATAATTGCCTGCAGATAGGGAAAGTATGCTGTCAAAGGGAGAAAAGAGACACAAAAACAAAAGCTGTTCCAATGGAGATCGCTTTTCTCAATTTGGCTTCAAAATAAATAGCTTATTAACGAAGTCTGTGGGCAAATGGGAAACAGCTCTGCTTTGGGTCAGACAATAATGACTCTTAAAGCAGTCTGAGAAACAATCCAAAGGGGAGGCAGGTAAAGAGCCTGAATACTAACATGAACAATTATATTACAGTGGGTTTGTACACAAGTTAGCACCAGAGCTTATGTGTATCTCTGTAGCCACATTTGCTAATAATTTACTTTATTCATTATTTACGTATTTAGCCATTTGTGATCTACTTTATGGTCTCTTAGCATCTTTTTACACTAGACGTGGTGTACATCAGATCTGCATTTTCCATCGCAATCTCATGAGCAGAACACTGAAGTCAGGTTTAAATGCAATAGTAAGCGGAATGTAATCATGTCTGTAAGCCCACATCTAAGGATGGTCTACCGAGTTTTGTGATTAGATCGCTGTCTATAAATGCGGTCTGTGAAGCTTGCAGTCATATCAGAAGAAAGTAACTGTGCACGAGCTGAGGACAGCAGGTAATAGTTTATTGACTCCATACCTGCTGACCGAGTGAATATTAACACTTATTTATCACTACATGGCTGTAGTATAGTTAAAAAACCCACAATGCATTAAACAAAAACAGCATGACATGGGTTACATGAAATGCCCATGACTGCAACTGTGTGCAGTTAAAGGAAGAAGCGTTTGCATGGTATTCACCTAAATGTACCAAGTGAGGCTAATCTTGGTACATATAAATCTGTGAATGTTGATAAATCCTAATGATTATGGATCTTTAGACACACGCTCAAGTTTGATTTCCACTCCGATTTTTTAAAGTCTGTGAATGGAAAAAAACACTGCTATTCTATCATTTGCATTTAAAAACCTTGTTTGTGGTACAGCCACTCAGATAGTTCGATAAAAGCAAGTGCATGTGAAACTGAAATAAATTAATTAGGGATTTAAATGAGAAGCAAAAGTGCTCATTAAGTACACATCTGTTTCGTCTTGCTGAGATGAACACAACTGTAAAGTATACAGCTCTGACATGAAAAGGCGGAAGATAAATGTACAGATGGAGCATGATACACTGGCTTTACTCTCATGCAATCTTTGGAAGTATGTAACAAGGCACGACTCACTTTTGTGTCAAAAAACCTGAACCAGCCTCTAAATATTCATTCTGTTTTCAAAGTAAAACTAGCAAGGTCTGCCATGGTAAGGCATGACTGTGATGGACACTTTCGGTTTTTCAGAGCACCCATAATTACACAAAAGTATATCAAAACATAACAGTTTTGATACACTCATAGCTGTTTGGAGAAAGGAAGGAATCCTACAATGCATTTGTAAGTTAGAAATAGAAGTATACAAGGTTTGTGTGTCTATGCATCTTTGATGTATCTGGCATCAGGTGTGTTTGCAGGGCATGCAATCATCTCATTACTTTTTAGATTAATCTGGATTCAGATTAGATTTTAATGCAATGCAGAAACATGGCTTCTGTCACCACACCACATTCAGATAATAATTCTCCAACAAAGATGATGGACAGGTTCAAATTTCGGCATTCACAGCAAAGTAAATCAAAGCACTAGTCTGGTGCGAACAGAGTACACCCCAGATAGTTCTCCAGTCCATCACAGGGGCAGGCAAAGACAGACAACAACACAAATATTCAGGCATACAGGGCAATTTGGAGTGTCCAGTTAACCTAATCTGCATGTTGTTGAACGGTGGGAAGAAGTTTGAGAACCCAGAGAGAACCCACACAGAGACAGGGAGAACATGCAAACTGCACAGAAAGGTCCCGGTCCCCCTGGGGACTTGAACCAGGAACCCACGAGCCACCCCTACACATACATTTCAGTATTAATGTAACTTTTAAGTCTTAAACACACTGTTATCATGATATAAGAAATTGTCTAACTTTTTTGTGTTTCCATGTTTTAATGTGAATAAAATGTGGTTTTATGAGATATGAAAATCATTGCATGTAATATTCACTTTACATAGCATGTAACAATGTTTTTCCCTAATATGACATGGGTCTGTAACATTAATGTAATGAAATACAGCAATGTAGCATAAGACCAGATAGCATTTTACACACACACACATACAATATGAAAGCAATAACCATTGTTGTAGCTGCATTATTGTCCTTAGGCGATTACTCCACTGTAATGCTGCTCTGGCAAACAAACTGAGAGGAACATTTGGGTCACTGAACTAACATGATTCAGATACAGAATCTATTTCTGAACTGTTGGCGAAATCCACGTTCATTGAAAAAGGCAGGAAATTTGGATCCGGAACATTTGTTGATCTAATTCTTTGTTGGCGATTAGAAAAATAAAGAACAATAAAAAAACAACATTAGCAAAAGGATACCCTGGAGCTAATAACAGTGACAAAATGAAATTCAGCTGGACATTAGCAAGTAAATTAGATCAGAGTCTCTCTCTCAGTCTGTCTGAGAATACATACATAAAAATGATCAGATCAGAGCTCCAGCTTTGACAGTAGCAGCATTGTTCAGCCTGGAGCCAGTGTGTAAGAACAGCATGTGTTTCTAAGTAGCTGTGTGTACGTGTGCATGCAAATGTACGGAGTGGTGGCTGACCCTTCGGCACAAAACAGCAATCTGTTCTCTGTAAGGGGGTAAAAGAGAAACTGCTCTACCGTCTGGTCTGTCAGAGCTGTGTATATGTGTGAAGAACTGTCTCCACACTTGTCATATGTCTATTGGTGTTTTTCTTTTGTGTGTGTATAAGTACTTTGATATGCCCGTGTGGGCTTGCAAGCAATGTGTTTGAATGTGTTGTTTGAACTATGATAACCCACTGTTTTTATCCAGTGTTTGCATCCTTCTAAAAATAAGCTGCACCCATGTCCTCGCCATATATGGATGGCTTTTAAATCTTCTTTGCAGAAATTTGAGTATAAACCTGTTTTGAGTGTAAGAGGCTAAGAAGTGAAAGCTAAAAATATAAACAAAGGATACATTTTTATGTACTATTCTTTTGTGTGAATGACAAGACAAAAAAAACAATTTTGTATGGCATAGAAGTCTCCGAACAAAGTCTAAGGTTTAATATAAAAAATTAAGTTCCAAAGTCGTAAAAAGCGAGCACATGTCAGTGTGGTGCAGGGTACCTGTGATGGCGTGATGGGAGAACGCCTCCACATAGGTCAGGTAGTTGTGAGGACAGTGTTTCTTAAGCCACTTGCAGACATCCTGTTGAGTCCACAGCACCACAGGTTTGGACAGACTGGACAGTGTTGGACTGGTGTGATAAACAGTGAAGGCTTCACCTGGACGCAGCTAAAGCACAGAAGAAAAACATGTTCCATCGTTTAGTGCCCTGTTTAAATCATTTCCCAAGTCAAAACCATTTAAGTGACGTATGCATGTGTTTGAGTTTTTAGCCTCCGCATGGGAGTCATTTGAAGCTTTGTTTCCTTAATGACTTCTTTCAGATTGCAATTGCTCTTACTAACTCAAAACGTGCAAGTTTTTTTTCCTGTATATTGCTGTGAATACTGCAGTGTTTTTTATCTTTTCTCTTAGAAACAAAACATATTGTGTATTTTTTTGTTCTGAACTGGCCAAAATATGCTGCTTTTGAATTAAATGAGCAGACCGTTTTCACCTCACTTGCCTGATTTAGAGGGAAAAATGTAAAACTGCTAATTGCTGGTTTGGTCTTTGTCCTGAGGTAATTTTACCTTAGACCAGTTACTTAATGACAGCACAGCATTAATTTGATTGAGCCATTTTTATCTTTAATTGGCATCAGTACATCTTGCTTCTCTTAATTTCAGATAGCACAACCGTCACCATGACCCCTCAACACTCTCCCTGATGGATTTATTCTCATGTCTAATCCAACCATTGGAAGTTCTGCCAAATGTGCCACTTTATAACCAGCTGTATTTCATATTATCGTGTATGGTGAAATGTCATTCACGCTAATGCAACATGCACGTACTCTTCAACGCTCTCCCTGATGCTTTCTCATCAACATCAGGAAGTCCAGCTTGCAAACACCTCCACGTCTTAAGCTGTAAAAGTTAATAACTGTTTCCAGCTTTGCCTGCTGCTATAATGAGATCTCCTTCTGTCAATTTATACACAAATCAACCATATCAGGTTCTGGCTGGTCGACTAAATGTGGTCTGCTTTATTGGACTTAATTGAAAACAACTCCATCCCTCCCCTAAGGTGAGTTTGCTTTTTTCTAACAAACATACTTCTACCTCTAACCAATTACAAAGCTGACGCTATTTAATAACCCTAATTTACAGCTCAAACTGGTCATTAATTCAGATTGAGCTGGGAGATGTACAGTAATGCTCTCTTCTGTGTATGATTGAGCATGAGCGAGAGAGGCGAACATTCTTTAGTAATCTTTGGATGGCCATAACCACTCTCTGATTGAAGCTCCGAGTCCACTTTTTCATTCCTTATTATCTTTACAGTGTTCATATGATGCAGTTGAGTATATATTCAGAGTGAGCAAAATCTTAGACAACCAGTTCTTAGGAAGAAAATTAACAGGATAAATAGATTTTTATCTGAATCAAGTCAAAGGCCAGATGACCTGCTGTTTGCTCCCTCAGGACCAAACATAAATATAATAATGTGTCCTGAGAGGGCCTATAACAACAGGGTTTGATTATGGAATAAAAACAATTTAGAGCATTTCAAGGCTTAAATTGAAAGAGAATGTAAGGTAAAATAATGGTTCAAAATAAAAAACCATTGGCTGAAACTATAAAATCAAAATTCTGACCATTGAAAGTGGGAAAGGCTTAGTTCACAGAGTGAACAACGTATAATTTAAACATCATGGTTAAACAGCGGAAACCCTAAAGATAATATACTCTTTAAAAAGTGGTAGGAAGTTAAACACAGTGTTTAAAGTCTTTAAATAGCAAGATAACAGCCTAGATGGATAGAAAAGATAGTTAGAACAGATAGTTGAACACTTCTTTTAAACACTCAAATGTTTTCTTCAGGGGGACGATTGATTCTTATCTGGTGAGTTCACACAATTATATCCAATTGTTTAGAAGATCACACAATATCTTTCTGCCTGTTGTCATTAAGTCTAGCACCTTTTCTGTAAGGGGACATGAACTGGAAAGAGCTGCATGAGGTTCTGGCCTGCTGTAATGCTGGAGGTGAAAGCACTTGTATCGTCTTTAAAGAGGAATATTATGGAAAAATCCCCTTTGTCTGTTTGTGACAACAGATATCTGGTTGCCTAAAGGCACTGTGGAAGCAGGGGAGGAAAATGTGTTTTCCCCCCTCAGAACTGAAAATGTGTCATTCAATGAGCCTTCAGTATATGAGGATAAAGTCATCACTAAAAGTGGTAATGCTATGTCCTCCCTAATTATTTCCCCCTAACTACAACTTAAATATTGTTGGATTTTCTTTAGAAACTGCCAAATCTTTTCCTCCTGCTTTGAATGTTGTCATTAACATAAAATCTCATAATTAGTTTAGATTGGTTGAGATTAAGAAACTAATCACATACTACCAGTACAATTTTTATAGTTTTATATCCCAACATTAAAATCTGATTACTTTTTTTCAAGAAATTGGACAGGGGGATTTGAATCCATTTCAGCACTGGGAACTGCTTTTGCAAAGATAAACATTGGTACAAATATTCCCCATAAAAGCAACAGATCTGTAGATTTGTGGCTGCAGATTTTGCAGCATAATAACACAGTTTTAACAGTATGAACAGTTTTTTCTAATATAAGGTAAAACGTTTTTAGGACAACATCCCGAACCAGTGACCCATTTCGGTCTAATAAAGTGTGTACATGCAGGAGTGCTTTGACTTTTATAGTTAAAATTTCCAAAGGTAAATGTATTGTATTTGTTAGACATACAAGCAATTACAAATTATAATAAAGACTGAAATATAAGTTCACTACAAAAGTGTATGTTAAACTTTAAATCCACTAATGGACAAGTAAGTATTATTACTAATTTACTTGCAAATGTTAAAAAATCTGTTTATGAATGCAAGTGTTATTATATTTAACTCTTAATACTTTATGATTCTGTTTTTTTTTTTTACATTCACTGACATCTGCAAAGCAGATGGGCTAAAATACTGAATGGACAGCATTGAGAGAAACAGACAGTGTGAATGGAGACTAAAAGAAGATGAGGAGTTGGCTACTCTTTGTGTGAATAATGGCCTTCATCATCAAGAAGCCAGACAGGAGGGAAATGAAATGATACCTCACAATCATCCCTCTGTCTCTCTTTTTTTTCTCACTTGCTCTTCTCGGTCCATTTGTTGGCCATCCATCAGCCTGTATCTCCTCTGGCCAGTTATATCTCACCCCTGCTCACCCTTTACTACTCCCCTGCTCCTCCTGAGACCTACTTCTGTCCAGCAGGAGGAGGTCCCTCATTTGTTACGTACAGAGGAGACGGGGGAAGGGTGCATAAGAAAGGTGGAAGCAGTATATGGAGCGGAAATCTATCTGGGATTAAGGACAGAGGGGGGAGAAAGGAGGGGGGTCATAGAAATATATATATGCAAAGACATGGTCCATCCTTTCATAAGCCGCATTAAGATAAAAATGTTTAGGCTCATTATCTCTGTTTGTTTTATGGACCATAGATGTTTTCAATAAAACAAATAGAGGATTCAAAATTTTTGGAGGCGCATTTTCCATCAAATGCACTAATATGTTCGGACCAATTTCACAATATGGTAAATATGCTTCCCAGTCATTGTTATGGCCACATAGGGGATAAATGACTCCCCCTCAATTCACAGTAATACCTCAACTCGAAAATTAGATGCAAAACTGATCTCAGAGGCTACAATAGTTGCCTCGAAACATTTTTCTTTAAACATATTAAACATTTAGCATAATTCCCCCCAATACTCTTCCTGGTAAAAAACCTTGATAGTTTTCATGGATGTATAATATCCTTTGTGAGATATTTGAATTAACAGTGGGATTCCAAACCTGTTTGCCCCTTTGATGACTCGAGTTTTTTTGTGTTGCTGCTACTCTTTGCTGTATATGGTGTTTGTGTTTCTTTGCAAATATTGCCTCAGGAATTTGTTCTTTTCAGACAACAAATATAGTTTTCTTTTTTCATGGAACTTGTCTAATGCAGTGTTGTTCAGTATGTTCTTGATGTAGGCTCTTTGACATCAACAGTTGCATGAGTTATCTGCAGATACTGTGGTGAAATATTTGGGGCTGCTGGATATTTCTGTTTACATCAAGTGTTTTTATTGGATATTCATTTTCTTTGGTGCCTAGATTAGCAATAAATAATATGCTATACAATAACAAGAACATTGTGAAATGGAAAATCTACGCTTGTATGGAAGCCTAAGCTGTGACCCTTTAAGTTTTTATCTTAATATTTCTAGTGCCTAAACCATACCAGGAACTGTATAGCTCAACTTTAATTTAGTAGATGTCAAATCTTCCACCTTATTCAGACTTTGTAGCTTTTTTACATAACAAGTCTATAATAATTCTCTGTTTCAGTGTTATAAACAGGTGGAAACGCAATAATTGGGAGTATCCACTGACAGCAGCATGGATGGCAAGTCTCTTATAGAGTTAAAGGGAAAATGTTCCATCGGTCCATCATTGATGGCATTTTAGGGGCACTTGATAACAAGGAATATCACACATGCTATTTGAGGTGTCTTTTTTTCTGCAAATTAAGTTGTGTTTCAATCAATTAATTCATCTTCCTCTCTATCACACCCAACTCAGAATTCTCCCGGCACTTCTCTGTTGATCAGCCTCTTTCACCATGCATCAGAGCTTATTTGTCCTTCTCTGCTTCCTGTGTTCAACTCAGTCTCTTATCCTCCCTTTATGTGGTCCTCATAAATCCTATTGTCCTGCTGCATTAGTAACTCAACATCTCTCTCTCCTTTCTTCCTTCTTCAGATCTTTCTTTTTCCTTTTCTTCTGTGCAGTGGGCTACATTGAGTCTCCTGCATGATTTGTGAATGTGTGTGTTTATATGACTTGCCTCTGTTTGTATCTGAATCTGCCATTAGCTAACAGTCAGGGGAGAATTGGGAGTCCATAAAATTATTTCTTTGTCACTCTCTAACTCCTCACTTCCGATGTCTGCCTGTTAGACTCTGCGTGAGGATGATCAATTGTGCTACGCTAGTTAGCAGTAAAATTCTGAGAGGACATTTGCATGAATGGTTAAATCAGTTTTATGGACTGCATATTATTCAATGTATGTCACACTTCCTTTTCCTTTATGCTGTTTATGTTTTCTTGCTGTCATGTTATCTCTAAAGGAGGTGCTAACAGTCCTCGTCTATTTTCCATATGTAGCCTGACGACTGAACAAATTCTTTCGCTCTAAATCTATTTTCCCCATCTAGCTTGCTGTCATGATTAAATCTTCAATCTGTCTCTGCAATCCCAAAGACCCTGACACGTTCTGACACATATCTTAATATCTCTTCTCTTTTTGTTGTATCTCCCCACTCATTCTTCTCTTCAGAGTAATCCCGCTCACCCTCTTTTCCCTGGCAGACTGTATTTCATCATTTTCACAAAATGCTCAGCCCAGCCATGCACATTTATGTAATTGATTTGTGCAATTTAATAATAGATTAACAATATCAGAAATATCAGCAAAAAAATGGATCCTTGAACTGTGGAACTGGCACTTATGAAAAAGTTCTGTAAGCTTTATTTGTGTTTGTTCTCCATTAGTCTCCTGCTCAGTGCTGCTGCCGCCCAGAAGGTCACACACTGCGCTCTGTAATGAGGATGGAAAAATAATCATGTACTGCTCTTTTTCATTCAGCCAGCCAGTAGGGTAAGGCAGAGCACAGCAAAGACCTTCACTTCCGTTAACAGGCTCAGTCCTGCTTTGGAATGAGGACGCAATGTGGCCACAGTTACTTCCTAAATTGTGTCTTTGTTATTCAACCTATTCCCTCATCAAAAGGTCCACCCACAAGCTGTGTGGCGGACAGCAAAATGAGCACTCCCTTCACCCCATCTGGCCACCTAAACAACAGCCAATTTAAGAATGGCACAGAGAGTGTGCTGACTACACAATAGCTCATTTTATGTAAATATAGGTCTGTACAGCAGAAAACGATATGCAACCTTTATTCAAGGAAAAAAATTATGTCTTTAAATCAAAAGCTGGTGTGTTTAGCTCATTTAAAAACTATATATGTGTGCAGCATAGTTTAATATACAGGCTGTATCCCTAACACTTAATTGAGAGGAACCTCTTTGATAATGTGAGAATGATAGTCAATGTTTGTGCAGGAATTAACTGTAAAATCTGCCATCATCTCACTTGGCCCCTTGCTGACAATTTGAATATTGACGCATAATGGGTTATATAGTTTTTTTAGGCACACAAAGAGGATCTCTGGGTTACACCTCATATACAGAAATGTGTTTTACTTCACTGCCTGCCTCAACACAGTCAGTGTGTTCAATGGTGATGTAATGGAGAATAATCAAATAATCAGTTCTGAGAGATGTTCGAAACACAATCCACACGTATGCACAGCCAAACACTAATGTTTAAAGCCATAGATGCATAAATGGACACTGGAAATTACGTTAATACACAGACACATGCACATTCACCAGAGAGCGATGAACTGCTCTGAATAATGCATAAAGAGGCTTGTTGTGATGAGAAAGTGATAAGACTTACTTCTCATGGTATAGAGGAGGTTTAATTATCCAGTCTTTGTGTAATCACATGGAAACAGCTTCTCATTCATCTTTTATTAAGCCTTTTATAGCTTTTTAAAGGCAAGAGAACGCTGTTTTATGAATTATTGAATAAATTCTGCAGTGCATATGTACGCCTAACAGCCTCCTGGTTACAAGCTTTATTAGAAGCACTGGGAAAATGAAACAAATGACATCCACATGGCTATCTGGTTCTTTCATCTAAAGAATAGCAGCAAGAAAGAGGGCTGCTGTGTCATATGTTGGTTGGGGTCAGATGCAGGCAAAAAGCCTTAAAAATACAGCTTTTCCCTTTGATTCATTTTTCTGGCACTACACAGATGGGATTTAGTTTTGTACAAAGCACCCTGTTGAAATGAATGATACTACAGCGGAGATGTTTCTGAAAAATATCTCACATATATGTGCTTTATACCTAGTCTTCAAATGAGTAAGTTCTCTTTGGACTGTTGATGAGCTCCAAGGGAAATATTGGCTAAATTGAATAGATTTGATGGCTTAAGGAGCAGCTCAAAGACAAGAAGGCCTCACTTAATGCTTTAGTACACCAGTCCAGAAAATCCTAAATTTAACCATTTATTAAACCCTACTAATACTGCTCAATTTTGTGAATTTCTAATTAATTAGAGCTTTTGTTATACTTGAAATCAGAGTACATACAACTGATTACCAGACATCTTTGCTATGCTTGTCACATTCAGTGGTAGGCTAAATTAGTGCTCCAGTTAGTTTCCAATGATCAGTTACATTGGAATAAAACTGAGTCCAAACTTGAAATGATGGGAGAAAATATTACTTTCCTGGAGAAAAACCATGACTTAAAGCCAGTGTGAAAGCGGAAGTGTGATCAAACGGCAAGCTGTGATATCAAAATAACATGTTGTAGTTTTTGGTTAAAATAAACATATTTATTTAGTGTTTTGTTTGTTTGTTTTTAGAAAAATATAAAAAATTTAGTGGCTTAAATATTTCTCATTAGAATACCGAAACAAAGCCAAAAAAAAAAAGTTTGCGCCATCACTCTTTGTAAAGAAAAAACTGAATAGAGTCCTCTGTTGTTTATACGTCTAAACATAATTGTCATGCATGGAAAACTCTGATGTGGGCAGCAGCCTCTGCTGTGTTTGTCCGGATGCCTTTATACCTGGATGCCCTCTGTGCCGGGCTGCTGCAGCAGTTTGACGGTGCGTGTGTGTGCTGTCCTCTGGCCTCGGCCATCGTGCCAGGTCAGGTTGCTGCCTCCGGCGCGGCGCGGCAGCTGGTAGCTCAGCTCCTCAGCCGACACCGTGTGCTCCAGGGAGGCTCGGCAGAAACTGAAGCTGGACGCTGCTGTGAGGAGAGTCAGCAAGATATGACAAGGAGAGAAAACAGAAAGAGATAAGCAGACAGAAAAAAAATCGGCTTTGAAAAACACCTCTAATTGGGTTTGCTTATGGGTCTGCGTTAGGGGCAGGAAATAATAAATAACTGAATTAACAACATTAAGAACTCAACAAACTAAATTCATTCTTGACGACATGCTTTTTGCACTCACTTTGGTGCAACTACAAACAAAGGGATGACACAATGACGGTTCTGCTCCACTGTGATCTCCAATTATGCTGAGTGTATGTTCACAGAAGCGGAGCATGATTTCTGGAACCGTGATGCTCTTTCAAGATGAGTTCTTGATTATTTAAATTCCACATCATGAATAGGTTATTTCTCCTCCCCTCTCTATGTCCATCCCTCCGAGGACTAAGTGTTGGCAGACGAATTGTCAACGCTGGGTCAGAGTGCAGTTTTGTGAAAGCCACAGGGCATCTTCTACAGTTCACATCAAGTTGAATGGGCTGCTGAGCTGTGGAAGTGCATTTAATCCACAGGGTAGACAAGCAGTCATCTCCCCTCTACCTAGGAGCTAATTTAATGTGATGTGGATGATAGAATAAGAGATAGTAGATAGGAGAACAGGGGCAGAAGTGGTGCTACACAGCGACAGAGTTAACTTATTAATGAGGCTGATGTCTGATTTTGCAGTAGCATTATGCTTTAAAAAGGGCGGGATTAATCTGATACCAAGTCATTCCATGTGAAGAACATCCAACTTGAGGCGCATTTTGCACATCATGTCAAGATTTTCACAAGTCATTTCACTGTGTCATATCACACTTTAAATGGTACGGCCTGGGTTGAAAGTTCAGAGTGGGTTGTTTCTCCTTCGTGCAATTCCTCATGCTATTTCATACCTGACTGGATAGACAAGAAATCAATTTATTAGGGATTAATGGAAACCTGGTTAAGGCACAAAGAGCTGATATTCGGTAACACTGACATATATTAACCTGTTTCGGCATGTGTGCATTCTACACCAGACAAAGGAAGACTGGAATAAACATACTGTATATATTTATGTAAAAAATATCCATTATTTGTGTTCAATAATTAGAATGGTGGAAAAATGGTGGATGAACAGTCGGCTTAAATAAAAGTAATATGTTCACTGAATTTTCATTTGAATTGAATGATTTTGTATGTTACATAGAGACAGATGTGCTGACTTTGTTCTTTATAAGAAAACATTGTCAGAGCATGTTTTGGGGGGGTGTACTTTTATTTTGATTTCTACTGATTATCTTCTTCATTTTTTTCTCTCCCTCCATCTTTATTCAGCCAGGTTTAAAACCAGATTGGATTGAATTTGAGCACATTATGTCTGTCTGTGTTCCATAGGAAATACTTACAATTTCACAGAATAAAGTCATTTATGTATTAAAATAAAACTAATTTCTCCATAATTTGAGACAAGACGAAGAGTCCTTAAATGTATTTAATAAAATGCAATTCTAATTCACTAACACAGCTGACATTTGACATTTTGGAATTTTAAGTACAACAACACTGCAGCCTTATCAGAGTAGAGAGTTACCATTTAAGTGGATATGCATAATTTCAACATTTGCTTCTCTGAGATATACAAAACAAATCTGTTGGCGTAATTGGACTATTACTCAGAGAGCAACAGTACCAGATAGGAGAAAAAACTCAAACAAATATGAGAATGATCAGGATCATCAAGCTAAACATCTTGTTTGGAATCTGGTTTGCTAAAAACTGCTTGCCTCACAAAATCACTATAAGAACCAGATCATTTTGAGTTGTGGATGGGCACACAATCAACTGCAGACATCACAGAGCCTGTGTTTGCACAGAATAGGTGCGAAAAAGTCTTTAGAACTCGTTAGAAATTCACACGTCAAACAGAAGACGCTCATTCTCACATCAGTGTGTGTTTCCACGGAACAAGTCTGCACTACGGAAACAGATGAGTGATGACAATGAATCTAGGGTGACCGTAGCTCAGAAATAGGAAGAGTTGTTTGCTAATAAGAAAGTTGGTGGGGAGCTTCCTCATATCCCAGAATCACATGTTGAGCTGCCCCCTATGCAGTCATCAGTGTGTGAATGTGTATACACTGCAGCATACACTCCTGTCAGAGTGTGTGTGATTGTCTGTGTGAATGTGGCTTTTAGTGTAAAAGTACTTTAAGTGGGCAGCTAGACTGGAGAAATGGGATATAAGTAAAGGTCATCTACCATTTAGACTGTTGCAGATGCTCAAATGGTTCTTCTACCTTACACACACAGCCTATTTTGTCTCTCTTAGACCTCTCACCTCTGTTAACTCAGCCATATCAGTGTTGGGTCAGTTTTGACCTCCACATTCCTCTGCACCCTCACACATGACACAGATGCTCAAGGAAGCACGATCATTCTTGGTTGTGATGGTTCATATGAAAAGACCTACTCATTTCTACAAGTCAGCACAATTTTACATGAAGAGGGGACCAGAAAACTGCACAAAATGGCTTTTAACTGGTGTAAAAAAAATAAGTCAAGACATTTCCTTTAAGAAAAAAGAAAAACAAATTTAACAAGGAAAACGATCAATTTAACCAGCAAGGTAAATGTAACTCTGCTGCAGATTTGCATAACAGACCACTGAGATCTGTTATCTGAAGGCTGTGTGATAGGTCTGTGGGGAATACCTGGTTGTAGCTGATTGAAAAAACAAAACATCTCTAGTGCTTTACTCCTTTCCACATTTGTTTATACTTCTTCGCCAGTATGATCCTTGTTTCCTATCTTTTATCCATCCCAAAGCATTTAGCATTTTGTGTCTCCATCGTGCTGTCATGTCTTTTAGTCGTCAGGACCAACCAGGCCCAACTCTCAAGTAATTACTGCCAGTCAAACTGACGGAGGTAGACAGGAGGAAGGAACGTGGGAAGCTAAACACCTTAGAACCCTAAAGACCTGCCAGTCTCACAGAAAAACTTATAACCGAGGGAGAGACAGACACGAATGAGACGAAAAGAGATGTGCTGTAAATTAGCTTCAGATCTATTCTAAAGCAAGCTTAACTATTTCAAGGTGAAAGAGCTCAGGAGGGAAACAGAAAACCGTTTAATTCCATAAGCAAAGACATTCCTCATACAAGGAAAAGCCTCAGCTTTGCTCACAATAGGAAAGTCTGGGCATGCTTTAAAGACACAACCTTAACAAGGAGACATGCCGGATCATGACTTCCCTCATCCATTTAAATCTAAATCTATTCCACATTGCTGCACCCCTCCACCACCAGCAGTCATAAAATGAAGACAAAGCACTCATTCTGCAATATTTAATGGACTTGGTTGGCTTAACCTCCTGGTGCAGGATACCCTAGAGAATTTAACATCAGCCAAAGTTGATGAACTATCCATACGTTCCAAATAATTACCCTGTTGAAAGGGACATTGGTTCGCATTGCAGTGTGTTCGCATTGATTTTATAGACATAAAGCTTTAAGAATATAAAAATTGACTATACTCCCACAGCGTGAAATCCGTTGAGACCTATGTGATCTGCCTAGATTACCATTTTCTCCCTTCAGATCAAACGGTCATCTCTAAACTTTCCTGATCTGACTGAACATGCATTTGATGAGCCTCGGCAAGTGTCAAATCTCCACTGCCCTTTTTGTTATTTTGTGGTTTTGCATTATCACTCGCTGTCCTTGCTGGTGACTTTTATCACCTTCAGTCTAGGGAGGGGCAAGAAGATAAGGGATGATGGAGGATGGATGGTTGTAGGGAGGATGAAGAGATCCTGTCACTGTGATTAAGGGGAGTTAATGAAAAATAAATAAGAATCGTAGTGATGGGAATGGATTTCTTAATAGATAGATAGGAAATTCAGATTTAAATAATTATAAAAAGAGGTTATAAGGAATGTTAGTTATAGGCATGCCAAAATCAAGGCAAAGGTGCTATGAGAGTGTGTGTGCATAGGATAGGTAGGTCAATGAGACTCCAGTGAAGTGTAACCTCATATCACCTCCTCCTGACTGAGCAGCATATCTGCTGTGTAGAGGGGCTGCTAAATCTCAGAGGAATCCCCCTTTTGAAAAGGCAATTAAGCTGTTGGGTACAACACCCTAGAAGGTCGTTCCAAGCCAAATCCCACAATAGATTAGCATGGCATCACCGAACATTACTCATTTGACTCCAAAGGAGTGTCTAAATTAGTCTGCCTGGACCATTTTGCTGTGTAGGCTTTCTTGCAGAAGTTTGATTTTTGGATAACCTTGGCATCAACTTCAGAGCACACATGTTTGCTTCATCCCCTTGAATGGAGGATGAGGCAAGTGGTCTGTTTAATCCACCCTATGTCAGGCATCACAGAGACAAATCCGTGGTGGGTTTCAGCAACATGATATTGGCATCAGCTCCCTGCTGCACCTCTTTTTCAACCCAGATAAAAATTTCTATTGGCAGTCCAAGTTATACAAATGTGGAAAGAGAGGAGAAATCACAGTCACCCTCATTTCTTTGTAATCTTCACGGGTGTGAAACTTCATCATGCGGAGATTTCACGCCTGCGTAACATCAAACCTGCAGTCCTAACTTTAGCATTGAACAGACCAACACCGCCAAGTCTACTGGTGCACTTACCACTGATCCCAATTTGTTGGTCCTGCTGTATGTTGGGGTGAAATGAGAGGCTATTTACAACTCTTCCCCTTCAACAGACCCAGTTTAACCCCAGGAATGAGCCATGAAATTACTCTATTTCAAAGAGCAGGATGGGAAAACGATGAATCTGGTGGCAGCTTTGAAAATAAATATAAACCCAAGACCCCAGAGGGGGGTGGGAAGGGTAGGTTGTCCCATGATGCATTGCAATCTATTATCCGCTATGACATGGGACACAGAGGCTGGGGCTGAGGTTTACCTCCCACACACAAACAGGGTCCTGGGAGCAAGCAAACAGGGAAACGGCAGTAAACAACGCACAGTTCAAACTCC